ATACGTTGACGAAGGTTAGACCGCCCATATTTACAAAACCGTAGTTAGATGTTAGGCCTGACAACGGTGGAAATAATTGAGTTGCATGGCTATCTTTGCGCGTAAAAGAACTTTCGCGGGGCTGGATGTCTGTTCCTCCAAAAGGTATATGGCTATTGTAGCCAGGGTGACTTTTTGTTACAAAACCCCCCTCTTTCTTTCTTGTCCATGGTTCCTGTACCATGACTACATGTGCACCGGCATCCCATGCCTGCTGCAATGCTATATCCGTGTTTTCCTCACCTCTTCCGACATTCACTTGGTGAAAGTGGACAATGTTATTTTTTTTTTTTTTATAAATTTTAGGTCCTAAGCTATGGTCTATATCTCCTAGGAGTCAAGGACCGGTGTACACGGCCAAGATCATGCTTCCCACATGCTCGACTCGGTCTCACTGCGTGACCCACTACACAACCAGTAGCTAGTTATAAGAAAGAATATAAATGCTCCCAGAGACTCCCATAACCATAATTCCAAATCCAATACTCCAATTTGAGGTGGGAAAGCGACACTCCTCGTCTCGTTTTCCTTCCTGTCATGCTTCGTGCTATGACCTAGTTCATGTTGTCTCCGCTGAGAGCTGGAGACGGACTCGCAGGTGAGTCGCCGAAGCAGCCGGTTTCCTGCGCAAAATTTGTAAAATCCTCAAGGCACTTAGGCCCGAGAAGCTTTTGGACAAAGTCGTGATGTGACATTGTCCCTCGGAGTCGACACGTCTGACGTTCGTGCAGTCGACAGTGAATGAAGTGGAGAGGTGATGTTTCCTCTCCACACGCACACTCCATGGAAGCGGTGAAGTTGTTGAAACGACGGTGACATGCAGCGAAGTTTCCGTGTCCCGTTCGGGCTGAGATCAGTTCACGGAGTAACCGCCGAGAAAGTGCCTGCTCCTGTGGCTTGCGTCGTCGCATGAGTAGACCCAGATTTCGATACCTAGGTGGACATACTTCCTCCCACCATTCCTCGAGCAGAGCTTGACGTTTCTGGTTCATCAGACGACAAACGTACGCCAAAGTGACGGAGTGTTGTGCTTAGCTAAGGTAGCCCTGGTAGGTAGCGCATGGAGGGTGAGTGTGTCATCAAGGTACCTCAGGCATAGACAACTCACATGACATGTTTGGCGCATTTGTTCAGGCAAGGCACACTGCATGAGTAAACATGATGGGCATATGATTCGCTGGTAAGCGAGTCCATGGGGTATAAAAGGGGAGTATTTCCCACTGTAAATTAGAATATATATCCATAGAGTCATCTACAATTCACTCTCGATAAAACATCATATCTTAGCCGTCAAACGCAAGTGTACGTTCACCATTTCATTTACCAAGTAAAACACGGAGCCAGGCTGGCTCTCTTTACTTGGAAGTTGTCGGAGGCCGGAGCGTGCAACTCTATCAGCCTCTTCGTTTCCCTGTATCCCAGAGTGGGCTGGTATCCACTGAACCGAGACTCGAGCCTTTTCTGATAGCGCCCTAAATTGGCGTACATCGTCGAGACTTGTTGTGGCGGTTCCCATCAGCAGTGCCTTCACTGCAGACTGACTACCCGTCAACACATTGATCCACTGCCTGCCGTTTCTTCTCCCGTTATCTCTCTCCAACAATCCTAGCGCAGCTTCCAGGGCCTTCCTCGCCCCTAGTATTTCCGCATCGAGCACTTCACCACCATGCTTGATGCCGTATCCCTTCCACAGAGTTTTTCCATCCCTCTTCAAGACGAACCCCCATGCTGAGCGACCATTCCCCTCCGACGATCCATCCGGGTAGGCACAGATATCCGATGGCAATACACCTCTAAGGAACCGAGTTACCTTGTCCTCCTCTTCTGTCCTTGGGCCGAAGTTCGACAGATAGCATGGCGGCGGCAGAGGCTTAGCGTCTTCCGCGTCCGGGAGTTGTCGGAAGGCCCGCTGCACTCTTGACATCTGGATCTCCGGATTCTTGGGTGCCCGAGCATTTTTCTTGTACTTCCTTGTTCCATTGTTTGGACACACGGCAGCACGAGTCCGGAGCGGGTGGCGGTTGTCCAGTGAGTGGAACCGAGCCGAAAGCCGTAGTCGGTTCCCTTCCAGAATGATCTTCCCTGTTGGGATACCTCCTTCTCGGTGGAGAACAAGATTCGGTGTAGTTCTCATTACCGGGAGGGCAGCGCGCAGTCCCGTCAAGATTGCCTTGTCAATCATCTCGCAGAAAATGCTGGTTCGAGGTGTGATGATATGGACAGTATTATGTTTGTCTTTTGGTGCTTTCGTTGAGAGTCACGGTTTCAGTACAAAATACATGAGCAATCTTGTAAGTACAGTAAATTAATTATAATTCTCTAGAGAGAGAATTCCTATAGCTAGACTACAAATATATATATATACACTCTGAGATACTCCTCTTCAATAAGGTTCTCCCTAATGACTAGAATAACACGGACTCCTCGACAATATCCTAGAAGATTCTTGATACACCTGTTGTCCTTATGAACCTTCAGTGTGCTTCCAGAAGGTTCATTGAGAGTCTTCTAAGCTCCTTGTATTCCGAGATCCTTCCCGAAGATTCCCTTGCTTTCATTGTCTGCGCTAGCCAGCGTAGGCTACAGGAATCTCTAGGCTTAACAGCCGTTACATTGAGGGGTTTCCTAACATTAACACAACATTGTTGAGTCCTGGGCAATGACGGTTTCAACCGCCTTACCGTTCCTTTCCTCGATCGGTCGTTAGCGTGAGAAGGGCATTGCCGGCCCGCTCTTGTCAAATAGACGAAACTTTTTGTTTGCTGGTTTTTGTTGGAAAGGAACAATCCAGCTCTTTGAGTATTGGCCAAGTTTTGTTTCTGTGGGCCTTAGCTGGATTGGTGTAGCACCACATACTGCATGGCACTCGTTCTTCACCATATTGTTGGTGACTGGAATGCTACCTTCGAGCGTCCTGATGTACAATGGCACATGATGTATGATCAATGATGTCGATTTGGACGCTTCCTCAATCACAGTGTTTTCTTCCTATAGGGAAGGTACAATCCTCATGATTGTATCTCTCAATACGTCTGATGCGCATTCGAGAGCGATCCCCTACCTGACTGGGTACATGGACGTGATAGTGGAAGTCGCTATCCCAGCCTTGTCGGTGATTATTTTCTTGATCGTGACTGGTGATAACTTGTGCTAGTGGTGATCTTTCCTTAATCGTAGGAACAAGCGCTTGTCCCCCTTTAGGACTGTCTGGGGTTTCGGGTTGCCTGTTGGTGCAGGCCTTCGCGGAATTTTCACGCTTGGCCGCGTCAGTAGCTTGGCCGCTTTGCGGGCCACTGTCACCCAGGGCGAGCTGGTGTCTTGGGGCTTTGAAAGTTGGGCGTGGCTATAATCCTCAACAGCTGTGTTGTTCCTAGGCGCGACTGGTTTGGGAGTGCTTGCCATGGTGGGGGGCTTTCAACTTGGAACGTTTGTTACTTCTACCTGATCTACTTCGAACGCAGTGATAACAGGCGTGATTTTCTCCAGCAGAGTCGCGACGGTTGCTGCTGCTTGTTTCTCTTCTTTGCTCTTAGCCCAGGAGTCAGTTACTTCAAGAAGTTCCTGGGCTTTACCCAATCTTTCTTTTCTTTGTTGTTCTGATTTTTGCACTGCGTTTACAATGCCAGGCAGGATTGGATGGAGTTGCCCTCCTGAATTGGAGGGCGTTGTCAATGACGATGCAATAGCTGGGGCCATTTGTCATGGCGAGACATTATTGAACCAGAGTCTAAGCAGAAGGCCTGAGGCTAAAGTTCATAGAACAGGTTTTTCGGCTCACCCTCAACACTTGCACTTATATGGTGAGACTAGATAATGCGCCAACTGGAATTGATATGGTTGAGGTCACAGTTTGAGTCATGATGGGAAATTACAACAGTCTTAGTTGAATTACGTTAGATAGTTATTTGTATTTAAGGAAGCTGGAGCTACAACAAAGTAGTTCTCCAGCTTCACAATCTTATAATATTATTACAGTATTCCTCTCGCAAACCCGCTTCCTTCTAGCCATAGTACTTCGTTGACTTCCCACCTCTATAGTATTCACCACTTGACCTTTTCATACCCTCGGCGAACGGCGATTTCGATCTACCCTGTAGCACGCCGTAACACCATTGCACCGGTTGGGGATTCTTGCAGAATGGGTAATGGGTAATGCGATGTGAGATGGGTCAAAAATGGCGATTCCTCAGTTAACTCTTGTTGAATGGGTGTGTATTAGATTAAATGAATATACATGCTAGTCCAGCCAATAGAAATACAAGTTAAAGTTCCGAGCAGCGCTCACACAACGTGTTCTAACCATATTATTACACAACTTTAGCGGTTAGATAACAGCCCATGGTTTCTTAGGTCTCTCTGGCGGCTTTACTTAAGATGAATTGTATTAACGCACAAGAGCATCAAGTCTAGCTGATGTAATGTTTGATTTTTTGCCCACCTGTCAGTATCATGTCCAAAAAGATATTGCGTCCGTCCTATCACGTTTAAGATTTCGAGCTTAAATTAATCAATTACATAGGCAAGCGGTGCCTCACGCCTTTGCCTCTACCATGAGCATGTAAGAAAGGGAACAGCAATAAATTCCTCTGTCTTGATGAATAAATTTGAGAAGATGAATTCAAGTAAGATTGGTGGTGTGAAATGACTACTTGTCTCGAACCAGCCGTATTTCGGTAGGGGAGGGGAAGTCTGCTTCGACAGTTAAATCTCTGCTTGAGTTTTTAATCCAAGTGCTTTACCGTAAAACCATTAGACCCATTTCGACTCCTGATGGCCACCCGTACACGAACAGTATCTTATATCAATTGTGGCAATACGCATAATGTAATTGGAATAAATAAAGATGACGACATTTGCAGTTCTCCATAAATCTGATCAGTCTCACTCTCTAGTCAAATATCATTTATTTACAAACACAATCCAAACCAAAAGCTCATGACTGCGCTAGATCAAATATAATTATGGGTGGGCCTAACTTAGAAGTATTCAAGGTAATCTGGTGGATAATATACATTACAAGAGCTGACAAAATGACAGTTTGGCATGTATATCATGTTTCCCATTGCGATCATGTATTATTATGGTACCAACCTTGACAAGCGATTTTCTGTCCCCGGATTCTGGCCCAAGCCAGAGGAATCATATCGTATTCCGTTTGATCGAGAGGAAATAAAGCTCGAGCTTGAACGAATGAAACGAAAAAGGCTAGAATTGCGAGAAAAACGATTAAATAAAGAAATGGCACCTGGTTCTGTTAAAGATACTCAAGACCCACGAGATCACGTCTGATGGCGTCAAGCTATGTAACTACCTCTAAATTCTAGTCCGAACCATTGAATAATATAACCGGGAATTTCAATGGCATGCTATTCAACCATACTAGCTATCAAGTAATTTATGACTTTTTTTTGACCAGGCTCACGAAGTCAGTTCTTAATGAGCCACGGGTAAAAAGATTAGATTCTCATGCGTTTAAATTACCTTTTAACTCAGTCCATCTTTCATCAGACAAATTACCCTGAGTGACATTTGCATACACACCCTGAACATCATTGACCTTTTGAAGGTCCTCCACGAGATCAAATAGGCTGTTCAACTTCATTATATCTATATCAGTAAGTGGTACCAACGTATCCTTGTTTGCATCCCAAATTATTTCTGAACTCATCAGCTTCAATGCTAGGGTTTTTTGTAAGTCCTTAGCCGTGGAAATAGTCTGACTAGGATTTGTCCATATCACAATATTTTGATTGTTATCAACCTCTACATCCTCTGCGCCAGCCTCTATAGCATGATCTAAGACGTCATCGACTCCTAGAGCCTTTTCTTTATTCTCGAAAACTATTCTTCCCTTTTTCTGAAAAAGGTAGTTGGTTGATGTAGCAGTGCCTCCGTAGGATTTTATTTTGAACCGTATGTCCATGAGCGCCTTGGCCTTATTATCAGTTTCACAGTCAATTATTAATGCAATCGTTGGTGGCATTATGGCTTCTATCGTAAGACTTTCCAATGTGGTACCTGTTACAGATATTCCCTGTCCGCGAGCAATGGCTACTTCTAGAGAAGCCTTAGGAAATCCAACTAGAAGTGAGTAAGTCAATATCTTAACCAGCGTGACAGTGGGGATTATACCCCCGTATACCTTTCTTTGCGTTGGCAACTAAGGTTGCAAGTCTTGGGTTCATAGCTGGGTCAGGTCCATATACTACCCCTATATTAGCCGTAGGTCAGAGAAAGATACTTCAATTAAAACAGTACGTCTAGAAGCAAGAGCTAGCTCATGAGCGAGTGACGATCGAAGCCGATTCTTTTTGGCATCCGCAGCGCCTTTATCATGTTTGATTTTTGACCAGCGGTTATGCCCAGACCGTAAACTTAATCCAGTAGAAAATGCCGAAATTTGAAAGCGTATGGAGGTTACTAATTTAGTGGATAATTTAAATTTCTTAGGACACATTGCTATCAAAGGAGTCTTTAGGTCTAGAGATGACATGTTATATGCAAGTTTATTAACATAAACACATTTACATCGCGTTACGGCAGATAATGATGTTCCGAGCCGCTACTTTGGAGCCCTGTAGGTACAACTGCAAGTCCTTCTTTGTAACTAATGTTGATAAATCTTTCAATCAGGCAGAGGGCTTTTCGCACAATCTCTGTAGTTAGGGCGATTAATAAGGACTGACCACAATCACAAGCCATTCAGACTTGTGTTTAAAAAGGGCCAGCTTCATCAGTAGTGATCGGCTCATCTTTTTTGCTTCAGATCGGCTCATATGTAGGAGACAGGATAAACACGAGAACAGAGATAACTCAAGTCACTTCACTACCAGCGATTCTCTATGCACTTTTTGAAAGCCAATGCTCATAATAATCTAGTTGTTATTTTGTTGAGCAGTCGGATTTCCGGATATCACAAACATAGCAACTCGATCAAGTTTGTCTGGCTTTTGTCCCACCACTTTGGTCTACAATCTATCACATTGAGCTCCACACTGACCCAGGCCACACATTGCACAGTGCTCCTATCCTCTTTTGTTACTTGAAAGCTCAAGGATAAATTGCCCATGACGAATAGCCATTTAGCTCAGTATTTGCCCGTGGAATTCAGTCGGATTTTCCATGGAACCTACCTTAGAAAAATGGTAGCAGTGGAAACTACATGCGCGACGAAAGCCCCAGGAAACTTGAAGCCCTAATTAGCCGGGGTCTAAACACCGGGACCACATGGGTTGCGGACTGTTGAGATACTAAACTCAGATAATTTATATCGACTAGGAGCACTAGCTTCAGGCTGTAGATATTTCTGAGTACATTGCTTAGACGGTTAAAGAGGGCTAGTAATTAACGGTACGTGTGATGAATAATCCGATATCATTTAAAGTAACGCATGTACACCTACGAGGGGAATGTCTATGTATCTACATATGCAAAGAACATCATAGGCCTCAGGCATAAGCTATTACATACATGATTACTAATATACTATAATTTACATCTATTCGTGTTGCGCTTGATGGATATTGTGATAAGTATTTTTAACACCCACATCTATCTATTTCTCCCTTTCTTTTAACACGAGAGGCTGACTTGATCCAATCCGCCATCTCCGTATCGGCTGCTATGTACGCTCCGGAAACTCTTCGGATGGCTTCTCTATGAACAAAGGTTGGTGATGAGTAGGGCTTCGACTCTACCATCTGATCACTTTTTGGATAGCTTCATGATAATGATAATAGGGGGTTATGCTCAGAGATGAAGACGATGTAGACCCCGAAAGCGATTGGGAATCCTTATACTATGGGGAAAGCGTATGCAATTTTTTAACTATCCCAGATTTGCAAAGCATATTGTTTGCACAGACTGAATCTGTCGGGAGATATATATCATGGCTGGTAACTTGATTCTCTATTTTCTACCTAAGCTTTCAATAGCGAGTTGAGAATTTAAGGCATGACACTCAGTACCATCAGACTATATGGAACTATTTAATACATACAGCATTAAGCGTTTACTGTGGCACAGCTTGAAGCTGTATATTTTGTATTTGCCTACCTTGCACATAGGATTTTCACTGAAACAATATTACAGCTTCACTTTATCAAGCGCCTTTTTCGGAACAAATCACATACATTGTGGCAAGACTCTTCAGATTTTTAATTTGCTACTAACAGTTTATCACTCCGTGGATGTCTGGAGGGTGAGGCCCAGATGTAAGCGTATTTATATTAACGCGCTAGGAAGTTGGCACCCTCAATACTCCTGTAGGAGCTTGAGCAAGCAAGGGTTGGGCTGTGTCAGGCCAAACATCACAGAGCACACGTAACTCCCACTTTAATTACTGGACCGCCATAGAACTCACCCACGTGCTGAACATGTCAAGCCCAGCCGTCCAGATAACACGCTATTTACAGGTCGAGGTATGAATTCCTTCTTAGAATCGGCTACCACGCGCCTAAGCCCTTAACACCCTCTCAATTTCTGTTTTTTTTTCCTATACGATCAGTCTCAGTCTTACATTATCTTATCCGGGTGTCATTTTGTTCATGGAAGGCCTTGTCTAATCGCCCACCGAGTCCGCCTCCATTTATATTCCCTTTTATTCCTCTATCGTAGCTTCTCTTTAATCCTTTTGCCAATATCGCCATGTACGATACTTTTTAAACCTTTTATCCCTACTGTCTTACTCCGTCGCAGCCATACCTACAACCGGTGAGGCAGAATGTGTTTCGAGGAGCTTCTGACCAAGGCACCGATTCCTCGGCCTTTTTCTAATGCCCCGATTAATATACAAGTAGAAATCTGTGCGCATTTTGTGGTTGGAGATTCGTCGTAGGTCGAGATGATGATGCACTTGGCATAGACAAAGTCGTATTTAAGGCCGATACTTTGACCATGCCTAAACACCGCACGACAGATTCAGAGAAGTGAATATCCCGTTGTGTCTTAGATTACGATCATGAATTCTGTACGTAGGATAGCTTGAACAGCTTGGATAAATAGTTGGATGATTATTGAGAGGTTTGCGAGATATGAGATGATCCGAGAAAGACTCTCGTGAAAGCTTGTAGTTGTGAAAGCTGTAAGTTGTTGCAACACGAAGATTAGATAGGTATGAGCCTATCTATGAATCATATTTGTGGTGTAGGTGATTGGTTCAGCGGGGTTGTGTATTCCTGGAATCTCTGCAGTTCGGGTTTTCAACCAAATACTTGCCAACACAACTCCTACCGATCTCCATCTTGAAGAAAACTTTCAAATACAACACTTATCGTGATTGAATCTCGGTTGAAATGAAAATTTTTACCACCCGATCCGTAGGATACCACTGATGGGCAAACAGCCTTCGTCATCCCATAAATGCAAGTATTTTCCTTGATGATTTTATAACCAGAAAGCCTTAAGCCTCACCAATTATCTTTTATATTCATCTACACACCACAAGCCATCTACTGAAGTTATTTGTATGGACTCATACTCTATCTACTGTAAAGCTTCACTACAGTAAGAATCTGAGAACTTTTGGCTAATACCCACATAACTGCATAACCCTTCTGCTGGATAGAAGGATTGTGTAGATGCAAAATAACGATCTTCTGTCTCAAATGGGACAGAGATCAGACTTCCAAGACTTTATAAGAGAGATCGGCCCGTTTGACACATAAAGTACTATTTGGTTCCACTTATCCGATTTGGTATCCAGTGGGCCATCACTTTTTGTAATTGCGCGCGCTTAGCAATTGGAAACTTCCGTAGTATAGATGAATTAATATGGACGAGTTCGAAGTGTACTAGATAGGCTACCATGGCAAAAAAACCTCATCCCACCTTCATGGCCGGATCATCCTTGACGATAAACATGTGTTAGATCATGATCAGTCTCATAGTCGTAGAAATTCTCTTCCTCCTCAGCGAATCGCAAAATCCTCCTCGATAGTAGTTATCACGCGCCAGAGGCTATCGTAATCCATTTACTGACCTAATCTGGCGTCTCACTATTGCGCTGCCGATTCTTTATCATGATAGAGAAGCTAAAATCTATTGACAAGTCATAATAGCCTCAATTTGCTACTTTTATATCTCTATTAACCATCGATTTCTATGTGCATGATATTTTTCCTGAAAAGGTGCATATGAGTAGGTCGTGAGATTTTTGTGGAGATCAGTTGCAAGTATCGCCTTATGAGAAAGATTCGTTAAAGTCGATTGAACAACATAGAATGTTTCGGTCTTTGATATGCTATCCCAACAGACCTAAGCCCTGCGTTGTCCGTGTGGATATGGATAGGGTTGTCGTTGGATTTCGTAAGGCGGTGAATTCTAGTCAGGCTTACCAAAGACTAAAAAACAAAGCACAACTCAACGGAGGCGATTATCTGCTAATTAGATTTGATATCAGTGGTGTCAAAAATTGAAACTAGAACCATTGTTGGTTTTGGACCGCCAAACACACAGAGAAAACAACCAACTGCCATTTAAGTCTTGTTCTTGCCACAGTACATATCTTGTTTCGTCAAATTTTGAAAACATGTCGAGCTTGTCTTCAAAGACTAACAGAACCAGAAAATTGTGGCCACTCAAAATTCACATACTTCACTGTCGCAACTCATTGTTTCCCTTGCATTCCCCCCTCCCAATTGTAAATGTCAGTGTTAGCCCAGCGATGCATCTCATTTCGTCTACATGTCGAATTTTTTGAGAACTCTCCTTGTAAGCGCAGTCTATTTTTTCTTCTAGATTTGACATTTAATTCCATTCAATCATGATACTAGGTTTGTGATGGACAAGCACGATCAAAATTTAAAGCCGAACCCGTTAGAGCTGCTGTTTATTTATTTCCGAAAGTCTCGAGCGACCAAATATCGTTTCTGATGCGTTAGACCCAGTGTAATCGTCCAATGCTGAGATTGTTCGTTGAAGAAGTAGTCGGGCGGAAACCATGTGATATCGCGTGTCAGCAAACCTAGATTATGGGTCTGCTAAATGATGTAGGTAATAAGCACATATTCCTATCCTTTCTAAGCTATTAAAACTCCACCTTATTTCCAAGCTTTATCGAGACTAACGAATAGTGTCTTCTTTTATTGACCCAATAATGGGCGTAGAAGACAGGGGTTTAGTCATGCCGAGGTCTTTGACAAGATTACAAACCATCACATGTGCTAGAAAGGGAGAAAATGTCAAGGCTGGGGAGCGGAACACAGAAACGTTCACTTCTACATCAGGCTAGAAAAGGGAAATGCGAAGAATTTTGTATCAGCAGATTGCTCCTAGACTGATATTTAGTCGTGTCATACCTATCGGAGTATTCAAGGTTTTATATGTAGAGCCAAGTCGTAATTAAGATTATGAAGGCGCCTTGCTCAATTTCAAAATTTGATCTAATTTGAGATATTATTGCAGAACTTTTGTTGGAACAAAAAATTAAAAACAGCTAAACTATCACCATTTATCCGAAATGTAACTTAGTTTAGGCATGCGAAGTGCTTTGCTGCCATATTAATCGAGTATGTTGTAGGAGGCATTTCCTCTTGGTACACTAGTACAAGGTGGATTTCAAATTTTAAACGGTCGGAAAAAGACAAGTTACATCTGAAATTACACCAGTATACTATAATCTCTAGATTTAATTGCACAAAGAAACCTTCATCAAAGTTCTTGGCAGGAATTTGTGCAAAAAAGGCATAGTATTCCCAATGAAGAGGTCACTTTGCAATTCCAATTATGCTGGTTTGTCAATCTTTAGATTTGTGGTATGATGTGAAGTAGCGTATCTAAAGCATACATTCTTGAGAATTATTGAAATTCCTTCAATTTTTCGGCTTTAGAAACTTTCAAATAATCCTGCAAAAGGTAATTAATGCCCACATGAAATATTTCCAAACTGTTTTGGAAATTGGATTCACGAGGAATTTAACATATAATATTGTGGAAAATTATATATGAATCAGTGGTATGTGGGTTAATAGTTCCCCTCTGCAGAATAATTATTGAATTACAAATGTTTTGATAAGATACTGAGAAATTATCGACTTCTTGAGTCTCGTATGCACACTGTTGTTAAAATCGCGAGCGGATTTTTTTGATATGGAGCTAATCTTATTTATTGAATAAAAAGATAATCTTGACGAAGATTTGTAGCTCTAGATATTTAGCACTTCGTTAACTTGCGTTAGCTGAATGAGTTCATGGCAGACAACCTGAAGAGCCAAAGTGATTTAGCCAAAAGGTAGCAATTTTTTCTGTGCTGGAAGTTGCACGGATCTACGTGGAAATCTATGTTTTGTCGGAAAAATCTACAGCCCTCGAGGCGAAGGGGGTGCAAAACGCTGGGCGGAGGTCAAGTCTTATCGAGCCAACCTTTGTTAGCCCACAAATTGATTAGCCTCCCCTTGCTTGAGATCTAGGCCATGCACCAACTGAGCCCATATTTTGGTGATAGCCTTGTCTAGGTTATTCCAGAGCACGCTCGACTGTGCTTCCTGTAGGTCATAAGGCTGTCCCAGCTTAATTTAAATGTCTGGGGTTATTTGTGGTCCCCCGTGCGATCGCATGAGCGCCTAGGGAAGTCATGTCCCCCAAGGAGCTCATCCTTCGTCCCCACCAACATGTTACTTCTAGCAGGAGGTCGACTAATGCCAATTCCTAAACTTCGAAAAACAGTTTACGCCTAGATCAATGTAAAGAATTTCTGGCTCGAACGATTTCCGCCCCAAAAATTTGAGGACTACACTCAATTTTAATCGTGTTGGCTTCGAAAACTACTCTGTGTCTACAGTGTCGCACTAACGGTATAACTCCGTCATGAATCGATTCCTTAATCGTCGAGACAAAGACAACTGCACCTCGGATCGACGAGATAGAATACGAGAGAAAAAGGTATGGCTAGCAAAAACTTCATGTCTGATGCTCTTACTGGAAATTACTGCCTTGTTATCTCATTTTTTAATTAATGGGCATATCAAATACATGTATGCCAGGATCACATTAGTCTCTCAAACCGTTTTGCTCAAATTCCCCAAGATATGGCTACTGATTATTGCTCTACCATAACTTTACAGATAAGACCGCTCTCCAGCGATTCACTTTGGTACTTCTTCAAAAATAGCTCTCACAAGAAGCAAGATCAAGAGCATACGAATATTGTCAGTATCTCCTTGAGTTTATTTGTCATGTAAGTAGTAACCATTCACAGGTTGTAGAAATTAAAAAAAAACTTGTCGATGCAGGATATCCGGCCCTCAAAGACGAAGAAGTAAATTATGCCCTCGCATCTGACTATGCAGATGGAGACCCGGAAAGGGCCTATGAGATGCTGGTTCTTTTTCAGGAGTCAGCAGAGGGCTTAATTCATCCTTGTGATCCCAATATCACTTTAGTTGGGGCGATTAATCGGAATAATGTGACCTGTTACATAGACTCAGTACTCTTTGCAATGTTAGGAGGGCTTCAAAGTTATGACTTGATATTCTGTGGAGAATTTGAGAAAGATACACAGCGGATATTATCGCGCATACTTCTCTTATACGCAAACATGCTCAGGACTGGAAAGCTTATTCATGCAGATCTAGTAAGGATTCATCTTCTGATTCACTCGATTACTAGATCTGACCTATCTGCAGACGAAAAATTTGCAAGAAGCTCTAGTCGCTTGCGGCTGGGAACACAATCAGACTGAACAACAGGATGCTTCGGAATTTTACGGATTTATCGCTCAAACTCTAAACATACCCCTTCTTTCCATGAAATCTAACATATTTCATCATGCTACACCAGATGAAAATCACGATCATCGGATTGTGGAAGAGCAAGTACTCAATGTATCTATACCAGATACTGATGATGGTCAAACTATTCCGTTAGAACGATGCCTTGAAGGATTTTTAAATAATACTGTCGAAATAACGCGCACTCTACCACGAACAGATCTATTTCAGTCCACTCGATTGGACCACGAAAACGAAATGTTGTGCCGCTCAGAGTCGACCCCCTGTGTGCCACTTTCTAGATCACAAGCTGAGTCATCAATGCTCAATAATCTTGCGCGATCCCGAACTGTAGAAGAGACAAACGTAAGACGTGGATCCGCCTCCGATGAAAAAAACTCAACTCTCCAACCTGCCTATCAAGAAGGTTCCACCCGAAAAGATGTTCGTATATTAGCTTGGCAATTTTTCAATATTCTACGTTCGTCTCCCTCATGCCGATCATTCACGTCATACCTACATCACAACTACTCTAAACTCTTCAGTTGCTAACCCGAATTTTAGCTTGGCATGGAAAAAACTCAGCAACGGGAAAATCAGTTGACATAGAAAAGACAGCTCCAGCACTTGCTATATGCCTAAAGCGTTATGGCTTCAAGGATGGTCAGCCATATCGAAAAAGTACCCCTATAGATATACCGAAGGTAATGCTTTTACCGCATTTGGTTGATGATGATGGCCTGGACAACCCTGACCAATTACAAAATTTTAAGCTTGTTCTGATGGCTGTGGTATGCCACAGAGGACAGAGTTTGAACGAAGGTCATTACACTACACTTGTCCGTCGAGCTGCACCTGTAGCTGATGGTGATTTAAACTCAGCTCGAAAGCTTAGCGATGCCAGCAGGCCGCCACACTATTCTGAAGATCAATGGTACAAATTTGATGATCTTGTAGAGCCGCGAGTTGTGCAAGTTAATTTTGAAGAGGCCATCATATCTGAGATGCCTTATCTACTATTTTATCAGGTCCAACCTCAATTTCAATCGAACTTCTCATCCTATGAGTATGCAAACTCTGATCAGGAACCGCCATCATATGATTCCGGCGTAGCTCTAACTGCCTCAACCTCTTATCCTTCAGATGGTATCAAAACCGGAAACGCAAGCTGTGTTGAGTGTACCAGTCCTATTGACCAGGAAACTAAATGTACTGAGAATATTCATATCAGAACGAATTCTCTTAACCCCTTAAATCTAGCTACAGAGGAGCGAGCAAGCAATCTAGCCCCTCCAACTCTAAACCTATCAACATCTTCGTTCACAATTAGTCTTGGGGACGAGAGTACTAAGGCCCGGCTCTCACGAGCAGCCTCAAAGTTTGCGAAAAATAGTTGTCGGAGTCGACCAACGAGCCAATCTGGAGAAAGTCGTATAAGTGCTACAATATCTCGCCTTAATTTAATGCGAAGTAAGGAGCAACTGACACGGTCTGAGGCATTCAAGGAGAGGTACAGCCTAGAAGAAGCTCTTGGATCGTCACACCCCCTTACAATTCCGGAAACAGCACCAAACCCCGGAGAAGATAGTTCGGATAATTCGAAAAAAAAGAAAAAAAAGAGACGATCGAAGAGTCGAGGGCATATTGATAGAAAAGAGCGGGGTTCAAACCCAACTTGCTCGCTTGAAGAAAAGGGAAAATTAAAGGAAGCTGATAGAGAGTGCAAAATTATGTGAAGGTGGTGTTAGGGCGTTAATGTCAATAAATATGTACATTTTGGCTCAAGAAATTCGGAAATACAGAACAGCGGCAAAGTTATCTTAAGATGGAGAAATGATGGCGTTGGTTTTATTCTCACGGGCAACATTATTGCGTTCGGGATACTTGAATCTGGGATAAGTTGATGATTAGCTACTGGGAGTATTTTAAAGGTTTGTCGCTTTATTGGCCAGATGAAGTATGGTGTCTTCAATGGCATAATCAACCTAGCAAATTACCTTTTTTGGGGTGCTTAGATTACAGAAAGAGTCTTTGAAAAACTGATTATTCAGGTCGAATTGAGGATGAATTAACCCTCTTGGTCTTAGGGGCTGGGCCACGCGACCTACATTAATTTATTCCCAAGTTCAAAGGAATCACTAAAATTTTCATTCTGGAAAGATCATACTTGCAAGGAATTCGTGCGAGGCTTAACACCATCGCACATTTTAAATTGGTTACTTTCTTAATGATAAGCTTTGTAGCTATTTAGTTTGCGAGAGGAATGCTCGGCAACTTTTGATAATGTAAAAATACAATTAATGGAACGGTTAGTTAACATAGAAGGACGCATATATTAGCGAAAAGACTGTAAATATGTAGTATGCCTAATAAATGGCACCCATCGCAGAATTAGTTGTACTTAGGCCGGATTAGAGCTGGAAATGATTTATATGGGTTCCGAAAAGCACATTATGAACCCTATTCTGTCTTGGCGACCGAAAAAAACACTGCAACGCTTCCCGATTTGAATCATGACAAGAAAAGCGGCTTGGGGAACGAAAAAGTTTATTTTAGTGAAACTCTCGTTGCATGTTCCGCTTATTTTACTCCCTATAATGGTCACTACGACCTCAAGCTTCAATCTATGTCGATCATTTTCTTTCATGCAACACCCCTTGTGAAACATAGATTGTGCTTCTCGACAGTTTTGCATGGGAAACTCTCAGGCTTGCTGTCACGAAGAGACTTGTTGTCTGGGAAAGCTCCTTTAACAAGTGCCGTCCACTTATTTCATGCCCAGCTTCCCATTCCCAGACCCAAATCCTTCAATTTCCACTCCTCAGTTGTGACAAATAAATGACTTTGCCACGCCGGATCGACTTGGCTAACAATTGGTTTCTGCCACACTTGCGGTAGAAAATAATTGCTTCACTGACAAAGCAAATATTTTATATCGCCAGGCTTTCATACCCAGAATGCGTAGATATCAGGCAAGCTTACACGGCTAATGAGAGTATCAATCCCAGTAGCTTCCTGCGCGGAATTTGGAGATTAAGATTGGTGTTTATTTATGGACAACTGAGTCCTAAGGATTGCAAAATTGAATAGTCAATTGGGAAGTGCGATAGGATGATGATGATTTATTTATCGTGCCAGGCTTACACCCTCCATCCCATGGACGTGACACGCATGGAGGACATCTAGAATACAAGTTCCACCATTCTCCAGCAAAGCCCATCCGGTGCCTGACTTTGCCAAATACGTGCCTCGAAGTGCGATAGGAGATGTTAGGCTTTGATAAGATACTACCTGAGAGGGCTCAAGACTGGGGTTTATTGTTCGACTAGAAAGCGTCAAAGGTGTGCTATCAAAGCGAAGAAGAGCAGGCAAAAACGTGTACTTCACCTTCCAGCCGTGCCAGTGCAATCGCTTAGTATGCTCTGTATATCTGGGATAGCCAAGAGGAATCGCAACTGAATTGTAGTCGAAAGCGATCTCAAACACATCTGAAATTGTCTACTTTTCGTCAACGTTGGACCTACCAGCTCCACACGAGCCCTCTACCTCAATATTACTCCACACCACCTCGCCTCAATGACTGATAGAGGTGTAGTTTCATCAGCAAACCGGGGCTTGCTCCGTTAACTACTCGATAGCTCCCACTAGAAATTTACGACGCTATCTGAACTCGCGAGGAGGAAACCAAGTCATAATGCATAAAGTTCAAGTCTAGATTTGTGGAGGGCTATACTACTTGAGTGAGAACGGGCTGCTGGAGTATGGATTGGGAAAAAGAAAGGATATCCTTTGAGCGTGATAGACCTGATGTTTTCAACTCTGGAATGTTTGTGGGCGCTAAGAGAGAGAGATTTAGGCAAGTTAGCCAGGGCGACTGTGCGTACAGGCTACGCCGTGACTTACTGTATTCCACGACCTCTGAGCTCTCCAGTAAAATCTACGTATCGAATGCCTACGAGTTCGTCTTGTCTGGTGTGAGTTGTTCGATGATCTCTCTGCACCAAACAGAAAACTACAGATGTTACAAGCACGCTGATTAATAATTAGATGATGTGATTCTCATTAATATTCTCAACACATTTTCCTGTGATCTGGACACATTGGGCTTTGCTGTCGATTAGTCTACGACACTCCCCAGTTTCCGAGCGAATTTAGGAGCGGCCAGGAGGGCAAGACTGAACACCTGTGCGTGGTATCTGTTAAAAAGTGGAAGTGGAGTATTTTCCCAGAGCCAAGTTCAGTCTACTATCGCATTACCAAAGATATGATGTGATGTGATGTTTTTATTATACTACTTGAGTCTTAGACTTTCTAGCACCTTGGGCTCCTCTCTGACCCAGGCTACACCTTGTACAGTGCTTCTATCCTCTTTTGATACTTAAAAGATCATTGATATATTTCCCTTGATGAATAGCCATTCAGCTCAGTGTTTACCCGTGGAATTCCGCCACCTTTTCCACGGAACCTTCTACCCAAAAAAAAAAAAAAAGGTAGCAATGGAAACTTTTTTTTTTTTTTTTTTTGCATCAGATTTTAATTGCGTATGCAGCTATCTAGCTATGACACAATATCAAAGAAAAGTATAGAAAAGATGACTCAATTTACAAGAAGAGCACTCATGCCTCAGATTTCATTTGCAAGTACCACTGCGAAGTTGTGGTGCCTTTTTCTTCACCCCAAGTCAACCCTCATCCGTGAATACCCACCCAGGGGAACGTCTCAAAAACCCTGAGTTATCCAGACATGCCTCCGTCATCCATCAACTTTTCTCCGCGCGAAATGTAATCTGAGATGTCTCCTTCCCAAGTGGAGTAGGTGCCCAGGCTACTCAAACCATACCAGAGAACATCACCAGGAGGCGGACCACAACACCTTCCATCGTTGGCTCGTTTTTATAGTGTGAGCTGCACTCTCGCAAGCGAAGCCTTGGCGCGCACAAAGCTCAATTCGTAAAACTCCATGCCAAAATTCGAAATTTCACGCCCGTCGAAAACGTATCCCTCTTCTGCATCATCTTGTGAACTTGTCCTGATCCCTCTCACGTCCATCCCAAAGAGCTATCTCCCAGATTTGTGCTCCACGCTTTGCTTCCTCCGTCGGGTATAAATATCGGCGTGGGCGTGTATTTAGTGACCGGCTGAGGCCAGAGAAAGTCGACGAGAGGTGTGGTCATTGAAACGAGGATGTACTAGGTCGTACTTGTAGACTTGATGAAGCTTAGTTGAGAATCGGACTCTTTGGGAGTGAAAGATTGACATGGTGGAGTAATTTGAATTTTTGCCTCGTGGGCCAACTTCTTTGATATTGCGAAATTTGACTGAACTTGGCTCTGGGAGAATATTTCACTCCCAGGTTCGTAGAGGACACCGCGTACAGGTGTCAGTCTTGCCCTCCAGCAATGGAAACTGCGTGCGCGGGGAAAAGTTTCAAAAAACCTGCAGGCCCAGCCAGGCGTGTCCTAGACACCGGGACCACATGAGGTGCGCATTTTTATCTATATCTCCCTTTTTTGTAACAGTCGAGGTAGACTTGATCCAATCCGCCATCTTTGTATTGGGTGCTGGGTACGCTCCGGAAACTCACCGGATGGATTCTCCTCCATGATCAAGGGTAGGCGATGAGTGGGGCTCAGACCCTACCATCTGATTTGATCGTAGTTAGCTTCATAATAATGGTGATAGGGGATGTGTTGAGAGATGAAGACGATACAGACGGCTAAAGCTATTGGGAATCCTCATCGAAGTGAGGACTTCGTTTCTCAATCACGGCTCTGAAGACTCTATAGTGAGAGCTGGGGGTTCGTAGGGGACACCACTGACAGGTGTTGAGAATATTCTCCAATTTTTATGATAGTATTCATTGCCATGTAGCACCAATTTCAATAGGAAGGATCGGGGCAAGCTCCCGCTTGCAATTGGAGCAACTATTTTATCGGTCGTTTAGGCGAAATAATGTGTGGGTAGAAAGAGGTTGAGGACTCAGAGGAGAATAGTAAGTGCGGCATGATTGAGAAGTCGTCAAATGGATATTTGCTTGTGTTTGGTTTAGACTTCGATTCTGTTGCGATTCTACTTGGCTATCCTAGATATGTAGAGCATACTCAGCTGTTACACCGGCACTATCGGAAGGTGAGGGACTCGACAATACGGGCCCGGATATGATTAATATTTGGGTTATGCTAAGCATTCCCGTATAAGATCCCAGATGAGTCATCCGAGGGGTTCTGTCAGGGCACTTGCTCCGGTTGGGCCTGAGGGTAGGATTCATGCCTTAGGCATCTAAGTGGACTCCGGTTTTATAAACGCTTCTGGGGCGTCTGAACATGAACTTTTTTATACACAAACATCTCAATCAGGCGCCACTTTTGCATTAGTAAACCCATTATCATTACCTGTGATATCACAGAGATTGACACTGTCATTCCAACAAGGTTGGTAATTTCAATTTAATAAGTTCCTGAGGTTATTGGTTAAAGGCAAGGTTGGAGAATACATTTATAAATTATTTCGATATTAAAAATTGAAATAAATCTCTTATCTAGATTTTAAGCTTCATAGTTTGTGTCATTATCCTCTCCAGCTCATGTTTCTCTTTGGTACCTTTCAAACATATTCATAATACACATTGTCTATATCTTCTTACTCAAAACTCCGTTGCAAAACTAGATATTCAATATTCAATATTTTATGTTATATTATTTTATTCAGCTATCTAGCTATAAAAACACCATTCCTCATTCGCAACCTCATGAAGGTAGATTCTATCTATTTCAGTTCACGCCGTGAAATGGGGCTGGAGTAATCAATCCTATTTGGGCCAGCTGCCAGTTTTCTTGTGGCTCACGCTTTGAGACCGAGTTGAGCATATCGCAGCCCTTATCGTTGCAGATTATATAGGCACTGTACCAAAGGTGGGTATAGAGTTTTATTTAGAGACCTTTAGAATTTTAAAAAAATACTGAGTTGTTTTTGCTTTCAATTTAATTAACAGATATGTAGAAGGGAGTATTCTTTTAATTTTAGCCCTGTGACTTGAGCTAGAAGGTTATTTTAACGCTATATATGAAGATGAGCTTATTATAAGTATGTTCGTTTCAGTTAGCGTTTACTAGAAGTTGTCGTGATGAGATACGTTGTATGGACGGTATTAAATGCCTATCTACGTTCGAGTAGTTTTCTATCCTTTCGCAGGTTCTGTAAGAGTGACTAATATCTTAAAACATAATTCTACCTATGGTATTTGATCCGACATGGTTGAATTTGGGCGACCTAGTTCAGGTCTGGAATAAGTTGCAGCAGATAAATAATATCGTGCTTTTGCTTTCGTTTTTTCTCTAATTATAAAATTATTTATCTGGTTGGATTCTAGTGTGATGTAATGTAAATATCTTCCGATATGGTTTATTAATCGTCGTGACAAGGTTCAATACATCATTCTGCTTCACCGAATGCATAAAACTGAACTAGAAACGAATAGTCCTAGTCACTAACTAGCAACTATTTAACTGCTTCTAAAGTCTTAGTTTAGAGCCAAAGACTCCAGCTCAGATTAAATAAGATATAGACTTATCATGTGAAATTTTTATCAAGCCGGGACTGTTTCATTGGCAGTAGCTCTGCTTTTTTTTCGTTTCTGTTTACCACTCCCGAAAGTCTTTGGACTTTTTTCAGCTTTCTTTTCATTTGTCAATGGAGACCTATCGGTCTTCAACGGGGCTGGCTTGGTGATCTGTAAAGGCCCCTTCGTAGTGAATGCAGCAGCTGATTTTTCCGCTCGTCCGGTGGATGTAAGATGAAAAGCTCCTGGTTCCCCGGTAATAGGATTTTCGTCCATATACTCATCTCCATATTTAAGATAAGTATTGATTGACTCTTCAAGGAGTCGTGTTGCAAGGACAGTATTGGTTTCACTTTTGTTGGTAAAATTATTCTGGTATTTACTGGGTGTTAACTCGTCGGAAGGAATGTTATTTTCTCTATTATTTTGAGAGAGCCCAGAGAGATTGGAGGGCTGAGCTATCTTTTGGTTGAAAGGAACGTAGGTGTGACCAAGTGCGGGGCTGAATCGAGGTAGTTCGGAGGTAAGTGAAAAAAACTTATTAAGAGAGTACATCATTGATAACTACTGATTATTAGTGTTGGTAACCTTTGGGGTAAGCCTTTACCATTCTGCTGGCAATTATATCTGCCGTCGAAGGTGCCATGTAAATATTCTCCCCAACCACAAAATAAGTAGAGTGTACAGTTATTTCATCCTCATTTCTCGGGATCTTTCGTCTCGTCTGCTTTCTAATTACCCAAACTCCCGTCCCTGTACCTGGAGCCATCTCAGCTGGCTCTTGGGCTACAATAAATTCCAATCCGGCCATGGTTTTGAGCCGACCTTCAAATGCCTCCCGAGTCTGGATTACAGGCATCATGTTTGGGTTAAACATTGCTTGATTAAAAAGTACGTTATTGTTTGAAGTGCGATCAAAGAAGGGAGATTGTGCAAAATAAAAAAGTACTGAGTTTGAATGTACACCTTGCATCTCCATAATCGCATACGGTGATTTCCATTGTATTTCATCGAGGGGCGGTTCTTTAGATACCATTGTCGTTGAAGAATGATTGCTCAGGAATTCTGAACGAATTTGTGATCAGAAGTAATACGTCATGGCAAGTAATTCACAGTGGTTCACAAGTGGAGCTTGCGAGGCTAGCTAGCCTTGAGATAGTGTGGATCTTGTGCTAGTACTAAACCTGTGAAACCCAACAACAGATTTCAAAACTTGGGAAACAACATCTTATCAACGCAGCTCTAAAATTTTTAAATTTGCTAAAGTCATGGATCTTCTCTCAACAATCCGCAAAGAAGGTTCTCGTGGTGGAGTTGAATTTTCATGGTCAGACGTAACCACTTCTCAGCATCGCGAAAATTACCTGGGCCATTCAGTTATGGCACCAGTAGGTCGGTGGCAAAAAGGAAAAGATCTAACATGGTACGCAAAAGGCAGTAGCATATCTAGTGCTGGAGATCAAACTGTAGAGGAAAGAAATCTCCGAGAGAGAAAAGAAGAAATAAGAAAGATAAAGGAAGCTGAGGAAGATGCTTTGGCTAAAGCTTTGGGCCTTCCAGTAAAGCAACGAAATACTTCTGAAAGCAATGCCATCACATTAAGCGAGGTTAATCAAGCGGTTAAGGACGCTGGAGTCGGTGAAGATAACGGGGTAGATACTGGCAAGAGTTTTGGAGACTTTCCCAGCAAAACTCAAGTTACCCAACGTGGCTCCGAAGTAACTCAGGAAATATTAGAAAAAAACTCGACATGGAGGTCTAACCATAGGAAGGAAGACCATAGAGAACACTGCAAAGAGACAAAACATCGTCATCATCGTCATCATCATCATCATGGTCATCGACAACGATCACTAAGTCCTGATTATAAAGAACATAAATCACGATCTAGAGGTATACTTTGTAAGAATTACCGGGCAGAAAAGAAGGTAGATCAGCGTGTAGAGAGGAGTGATGTATTCCGAAACCTTCGCCGTGAAAGACACTGTAGTGCGGATAGGCATCGGATAAGGGACCACAGAGAACATCGAGCACGCTCCAGAAGAACAAAATCTCCTGATTTTCACTCTAATAATAACAGGAGAGGTTAGCGTATTCGAACTTAATTATCACTTGTTTTTACGTTGAAAGACTTAGGAGTAGCTATGTAAACGGATGATTCAGACGTTTTGAATGAAGACTTATATTGTAATCTTATCTTAATGTAATCGCACCCAAGATAGATTGTTATGTAGTTAACAAATAACTAAATATTATGACATGTGGATGTGCTAAGCACTGACACACTATTCTGAAACGTTTCACAGCTAGTGTTCGGTGTTATCAAACACATTCGAAAATGTGCTACCGCGCAATCATTATTGATGATTATCCACATCACAATATTACAAGGCTTAAAATATGCCTCCATGAATCCACACAGATTTGTTACTCAACAATCTTCATACCTAGAAAACTTTGTTATACCTCTACTTTGTCAAAGAGTGGCAATTGCGCTAAAGCTACTTAAGTTGCTTTCAGCTAATGCTCAAACTTAAGTTAAACAATCCTTAAACGTTAGTTATTCACCAATTATTGACGTTTGTAAATTTACTTACCATCTTTCAGAGGATATGGACTTTACAAAGCTCAGAGCAGCGGCTCTCAAGGACGGAGATGATGAGGAAGCTGTCACTGTTAATACGAGAGCTTTGATTGACAAAGTACTCGCAAGGTACTCAGGTGAATGGACAACACTTCGAGAACTTATCCAAAATGCTGCCGATGCCCAAGCTTCGACCGTATCAGTTAAATTCGACACTATTCCCTCAATTCAGATCCCATCGCCGAGCTCAACAAGCAACTCCGAAATTATGAAACACGTTCTACAGAATCATACTCTACGGCGGTTGGTGGTGACAAATGATGGACAGAAGTTTGGAGAAAACGACTGGTCAAGGTTAAAAAGAATCGCTGAGGGTAATCCAGACGAGACTAAAATTGGTGCCTTCGGTGTTGGATTCTACAGCGTATTTGCAGATTGCGAAGACCCATTCGTAAGCTCAGGAGATCAAGCTATGGCTTTCTATTGGAAGGGTAACTCACTCTTTACAAAAAGGGTTCATCTTCCACATGATCAAAGTAACCCTGAAACAAGCTTTGTTCTCGATTATCGAAATAATACAACTCCCGTTCCAAATCTTCTTTCTATTTCTCAATTTTTGGCTACGAGTTTGACATTCGTAGCTCTTCAGAAAATTGAGCTTTTTGTGGATAACTGGAAAATTTTGGTACTTCTTAAAAAACCAGCACCCAGCATTGAGGTTCCTATCGCCAAAGATGTCGAAACTCGTACTAAGGGTGGATCGATGAAAGTTCAAAGTTTAGAACGAGAAAGTGTTCAAATGGACGCTACCTTCATGAATGTTGTCGGTTGGAAGCCATCAGTTTCCTCTGCTCCAAAAAATGGGGGTCTAGAAAATAATTTTGGTAGTAGTATGAGTGAGATTTCTTCTCTAAGATCATTTTTCTCGAAACTCACATCCAGTACTACGCATACTCAAATCAAAACTAAGGAAATGAGAGACGAGCACGCATTACAAGAGATAATTCTGGAAGATCTAGCTGCCCTCACTACCGCTAATGTTTTCTTAAGGATAACTACTGCTTTTGTCAAAACTTCTGTGAGTGTATCTTTTGCAGCGGAGCTTGAGCGTGCTACCAAGAAACCACCTCCAAAGTTTACAAAAATGGCAATACTTACTTCCTCCTACGATGAGGCTGAGGCGTCATCTCGAACAAGTCTTGTGGCGAAATCAGTAGACATTTTTTCTTCGGTTCTACCGGAAAAAAAGCCTGGTGGCCGAATCTTCATTGGCTTTCCAACCCATCAAACTACAGGTACTGGAATTCATCTTTCAGCACCATCAGTCATCCCAACCGTGGAGCGAGAAAGTATAGATCTTAATGCAAGATGGGTCAGGAGCTGGAATGAGGAAATGCTACGAGTTTCTGGGATTATTGTTCGACTTGCCTTCTCTAGTGAGATGGCCGAACTTTCTGAAAAAGTTGGGCAAATATCAAAACTCGCTGGAAATGAAAATAAAACCCCTAAGGTCGGAATTCAGACTTTTGTATCAGAAGCCATGCATATATTGAAAACTTTCACATTCAGCGAATCAACTCCAAACTCAAAAATATCGCAAATAATTGAAGAAGCTTTTTGGACTGCATACAAGCAACCTTCGATCGAAATATATAGTACTCGTGGAGTCCTAATGACAAATCAAGTTCGTATTGCTACTGAGGATCTTAGTGGATTTGTCGAAGGGATACCAGTTATTCCTTCCGAGCTAGCTCAGCTGCAATTTGTGCACAAGCTCAAAGAATTTGGCTTACTTACCGAAATCAATGTTGGTGATGTAAGAAAGGAACTAGAAGCGAAGGCCTTAAGTAAAGAGCAACTGGTTCACTTTATTAGCTGGGCTAGTAATAAAGCTGTTTCGGGTGATATAGACAGTCAAACTATCCACTCATTATTAGATGTTGCAGTAGCTATCACCGGTCATCAACAGGGCTCTGGGATTATTGCAATTGGTTGTATCAAACATTTTCTCAATGTGAACATAATTCCAGCTGATTTACCCTTACCAGAAACTACTCTTCCATTTAACTTTACCAAATCAATACCAATAAATCAACTACGGGCTCTTGGTTGGGACCAACTTGGGATAATTCCTTGGCTCCGCTATTTGATTGAATCAAATCCTAGCCGATCCCAGGAACAAAGCCTCAGTAATTCGGCACCATTTGCAGCTCGTGTTCTCCACGTCCTGTCAAAAAACTGGGAACTTTTAAGTCAAAATTCTAAGGCTACAGTAGTTTCATTATTGAGTCCAGTTTCAATTATTCCCACTAAATCTGGTATGAAAAAACCAGGAGAAGCTTTCCTTGCAAGTGTGAAGCTTTTTGAGGATCTACCAACTATTACATCTTGTCCAGGAGTCAAGGAGAAATTCCTTGCTGCCATAGGAGTACGTAAAACAGTGAATTTGGAGACAATTTTTGATCGATTACTCTCTCCGTCAATCGACACACAGAAATCTGGCAAAGGAACAAATAGTCGCCACATGGAAGTTATTAAGTACCTAGCCTCAGTAAGAGACGATATCCCAGCAGAGGATATAGAAAAATTGAAGAACTCACCTATCTTTCCAGCTGAAGTAGGCCCAAATGGATCTGGATCTACAGAGTCTCCTGAAAAGCTATTCAAAATTTCTGAACTCTTCGAGCCAAAAGACGCACTCCGTGTATTGAAATTACCGATTATACAATGGTCTGGTCCACCCGGTAGCTATCGTTCTGGGAGTATGGAAGGCCGATTCTTGAATTACCTTGGCTTAAGAGCCTTTCCATCTGTACCCGAATTAGTCAACCTTATGGCTTCGGAAGATTTAATTATGAGTGACAAGGCTATGTTCTACTTTATTGCAAATCATCATACGAACGGATATGCCTCATTTGACGTAGGATCATCAGGCAAAAATTTTCTGCCATTGCAAGGGGAAAAAAGGCGTGTCAGACCAGCGGAATGCTATACCAATGATAGCTGTGCTATATTAGGATTTGGAATTCTGAAAAAAGAGCTCGCCCCTCATGCCAACAAGTTTGCTGTTGCAATGGACCCCCCGATAAATGCTTGCGTTGATAGACTTATTAGCAATCCTCCAAGAGAAAAAAAGATTGCTACTAGGCTCTTTCATTACTTTTCGGAACGTCTTGGTGAAATAGGACCGGCTCAGGCGTCACGATTAGGTGAGGCTTTAATTGTTCCCGTCGAAAATAGGCAGATAGAACAAGATGAATTCAAGAGGGACAAGCTCGAGAAACGGCCAGCTATTAGGCTTCTAAATCCAAAACAATGCTACCTAGGTAGCTCATCAACCTATGAGGAAATTTTCGAGTTTGTAGATTTTGGTACCGCTGCCAACACTTTCTTGCTTAACTGTGGTTCAAAAAATGAGCCAACAACACTTGAGCTTGCGGATCTTGCCTGTAAAGAGCCAGCACGGCTACTTGGGGTCATGAAAAGCCCCGAAAAGTATTTAAATTTATTACGAAACCTTGCTGATGAATTTCCTAAATTAAAGAAAGACAAATCACTATACGCACAAATGAGGCGGTCTAAATGGCTTCTCGCATCGTTTGAAATTACTACAAATAAAGAAAGTTCTAGAGCTAAGCCAATACTCCAGGGTGAGGAACAGTATGATTCTGATCCCGATGAAAACGAGGGATCAAAAATAAAAGAGTATCAATTAGCAAGACCTGATCAAATTGTAATCAATGATAACTACACAAGCTATCGTCTATTCAAAAAATCCTTGATATCCGCACCTGAAGAAGAGAAATTAGAAGACCTATATCTCTGCCTTGGTGCACAAACACTCGACAGTCTTGTCCTAGAGGATCTTAGGCTTGGAAACCCTTGTCTAGATCAGTCTTCAGCTGTTAAGCTACGGCGACATATTCTTGAGCGATCAAAGCTCTTTCTGTATGAATACAAAAAAGAGTCAATTAGGCACGATGTCAAATGGTTAGAGCAGAATCTTTTGGTTCAGGTAGTTAATTCTATTGCACTAAGAAGATCTTTGAAGGGCCATGCTTTATCACACACAGAAAAACGATTGGCAGCTTGCAAAAAAGAGAAAAGTTCTAGTTGGACTCTTTATGTTACACCCGGTGATTATGATTCTTACCAGATAAGTCAGTCACTTTGTAGGCTATTACTTGAACGACCAAACCAAAGTTCCTACCTAACGTTTGAGTCATTTTTGAGCCTCAATCTATACCAATTACGCTCACGAGGCTACAATGTTGAGCGAATTCTTCGAGCTAAGGCCGCAGAACAAAGAATAGCAGAAGAGGCGCGCAAAAAACAACTTGAGGCCGAGCAAACCCAGATTCGAGAGCAAGAAGATAGATGGAAAAAGCAGCATCAAGTGACACCATTAGATGCAAAAGAAGCTCAAAGTGGGCCTTTAGCTAATCGAATGCCTGGTACTTTTGATGATTCATCTCCCGAAAGTTCACCGCTGCCAATTCATAGAAAGCCTAAAAGCGGACTTTTCACTAATCTTTCGAAACGACTTGGCTTAAATAATGAATCTAATGATGAAGCTCAGGAGCAAATGACAAAGTTCCTCGGAAAAAAATCAACTCAAAATCAGACCGGGGAGCCACCCTCCTACGAAGAAGCTAATCAGGGTATGGTTTACTCGCCGGCAGCATTACAGCAAAATCTTCTCAATGCTATCCAATCATCTCGTGCTCATGATTCTAATGATCTGTTCTCGCCACCTAGTACTCAGACAATTAAAGAGCAGGCTTCATATTGTGACTCTAAACCAGCTCAAGATATAAATTTCTTAGCTGAAGCCAACAATGGCATTCGAATATTTGTCGCCAAGAGCATCAAAGCAACAGAGGCGCGAGAATTTTTCTCATCAAACGCTAAAGAGATCAATAGTTTTGCTGGTCTTCTTGTTGAGGTAGCTGAAATTTATACACTCCCAAGAAAAGCAATGCACATATTTTACGACGAGTCTGGAAATACTATCGCCTTTAATTCCAGTGGCAGCATCTTTTGCAACTTTCGTTTTTATAAGCAACTGCATGCAACTAGTATTTCTGATAGTAGCAGCAGAGTTAAGGCCACTTCGTACTGGTGGGTTGTTGTTGCACATGAACTAGCTCATAATATTGTTGCGGCTCACAATGCCGAGCATAGTTTTTATACGTAATTATCTCCGTTTTCCCCCTAATGGCACTTTTACTCACTTTATTAATGGCAATACTAACTCATCATAGTGAAAGTATTATAGGGAATTACTTTTCCAGAATGATGGATAAAGCTTTTGGATACCTTCAGGCAACTCATTCTACGCCGTTAGAAACTAGCAGAGCAAAGAGTTTATTGGATTAAGAAAGTTGAAGTGGTGTAAATATAATTAATTTTATTGATATTTATAATGATTAAATTGTTGCATGGTAGGAGAATCGAGAGCGATACAGCTAGGAATAAATCGATTAAGTATACAAGTAGTTAGTATGTAAATTTAGCGAGCGGCCCTTCATCAGAACTAATTTAACTGTTTAATAAAAATAATTCCTTGTAATTCAATCTTAAGAAAGGTACGTGGAACATTGCATTATGTCGTAGATATTGAATACAGAGCCCTTTTTTTGAATTTGAATTTGAAAACTTTTACGTGACAGGAAGAACCCAACATCTATTTAGACGTGACACGGGTATATTAGCTCTGGGGGCTCATTGCTACTTACATGACCGGCAATAAAGCCAGGAGCGGCAAAAGAAAAGAACATAAAGATACAGTAAATGTCTGAGTTATGGTGCCCTGCGCCACATCCCTATCTTCCAAACCCATCTCCTCTCAAGTCAGAAACAATCTCAGAATGGTCACCTCCCACCCTGATCATTCTTCAGTAGACTGTAACATCTGCTTGTAGTTAGGGATTGTATGAACTTCTGCTAACCCTTCTCCCCTATCATTTTTCTGGCCCCAGGTGGAACCATATTTTCACAGCTTCCCCAACGCTGCAAAGCAGGTCGGCACTTTGAGAAATGCCAGAGCCTATTCGCTCGGCCGCAAATGCATTTCAGATTTTCATGTTCGGGGTTGAAACGTCGATGGTAGTCCCCGTGTCCAGTCCTTGCCACAATTAGACGGTGGTACGCCCATCTTGGTAAAGCTAGTTCCGGTGGTCTTTGCAACGCATGAATAGGTCCAGGTCTTTGTATCGCTCAGGTCGATACTTCTGCCACCACTCTTCCACAAGCTCTTGGCTGCGTAGTTTAAACCACCTCCCTAATGCCGCAAAGGTTAGATCTTGATCTTCTCCAATGGGCACAGCTGAGGTTAGTGACCGGTTATTGGGAGCTCCAAAGGCTGATTTGGCCAGCTTATCGGCCTCTTCATTGCCTTTGATCCCAACTTGACCAGGTATCCAGCGTATTTCCCACACGCTTGTTTTGTCTCAGCAGTGAAAACTTGTCCACCACCGGCTGCGAGGAGTTAGATCTTCCTCTTTCGAGCGCCTGGGTGGCCGCTTGGTTGTCTAGAAGAATGCAGATCAGTAAGTCTTTTCCTACCTCTATTGCAGCCTTCAAGGCTTTCATGGCACCTACAACTTCTGCATCGAATACCTCTGCTCCGGGAAGTGGACCGGAACCACTCCCAACTAGCTTGCCTCTTTGTTATACTACATATCCCCAGGCTGATTTTCCAGGGCCTGACGAAGATCTGTCGGAGAAGGCATAGATTTTCTCGGTTGGCAGGGAAGCTAACCATCGCTTTATGCTTCCAGACCTAGCTTCTTTTTCTCGACTGCATGGACTCGGTGCTGGGGAGCCATCTGGAAAGTAGAGCTTTCCAGGGCCTTCGGCTATCGGAACTTGACGCACGCTCATTTGCAGACGTGTCATGTATTGTTTTGGTTGTCTAAACAAGCGATTTCTTTGTCCCAGTCTAAGACCTAAGCGTCTTATTGTATCATTTAAGTCCTGAGCCGCCCGAAGAGCTAGAGGGTGCTAGATATTCATTCTTCGCATACAAGTTGCAGATCGCGACACATTTTGCTGGAGAATCATCGATGCCGGAGGTAATCCCGCTTCACGATGAAGAGCGTTATTGGGAGGGGTACACCACGTTGGGATTGCTACTCGGATAGCTTTCATTATTGTTTTGTCCAGTAGACATATATACCAGACTACTCCGGTGCCGAATTCTTTATCTCGCAGTGTGGTTATTCGAGTAAGACGCGGCCACCACGCTTCTGCCCCATATAGAGCTGTGCTCAGAACGCATGCATGTACTGCATGAATCAAGGGTCCGGGTGCTTCACCACGTTGAACTCCGTTTATATGTCGTAAGAAATGGACTAGACGATTAGCCTTTCAAGTCCATTCCTGTACATGCTACTTGAAGTTTGGCTGGGTATCAAGCCAGACTCCTATCCACCGGATATGAGATGACGGCTCGATCCGGCGATCTTTCAACAAGATGGAAAGATCAGCCGCGTTGATTTTCTTTCTAGGCCCTCCTCCGGTCACTAGAAGTTTTGAATTTGCTGGGTCAAACTCGATCCTATGTTCTCTTTCGAGAAGAATGAGGCTTTTGAGGTCAACTTGGACTGCGGAGACAGTATCGGCCACTGTGACAGAAACCGAGTTGGTGATGAATAAATCGATTTATTAAACTATATGAAGAGAAAAGAAATATCTAGCTGCTACTAACAGGTACTTATAACGTTTGGTCCGCTTCGTGAATCTGCTGACTGATAACTTCCCCCTAGGCCTAATACTTGCTACCGAGCCAAGTATTATCAGGAGCCATTACGCTATGATGTTGCTTCGACCTCCTGGCTAGTAGTGCTATTTCATCTCTATTTGCCCATCCTTCCTCTTTCAGTCTTATCGTAATTATTCCTAATTAAACGCTTAGGTTTCCTCCTAAGCTAAAACAACGGTCAAACCGTAACAGCCACGTTGTTTCCAACTCTGACGATAGCTACATCATCAGCATAACCAAAACTGCTTGTTAGACCGTGATCCTCAAAAAGCACAGCGATGTAGAGCATGAAAAGAAGTGGCGATAGTGGCGAGCCCTGAGGTACTCCAGATTCCAGTATCTTCTCTTCTGTGATTCCACCTCAATTTTTAACCTAAACTTTTGGTTGGCAAAGAAAGGGCTGAATGACATGGCACAGGGATAGCGGCCAGCTTGTTCCTGAAGGCGTTTGAGCAGACAGTTGTGAAGGACTGCATGAAATGCGTCTTGAATGTTAAGTGTGATAATAGCCGCAAATTTTACACTTCTTACGGCCGCCTCGGCATCATGGATAACGCAGGATGTAAGGTCGACTGCAGATCGTCCTGGTACAGAACTGAATAATTGAGGGTGAACCACATGGTGACTTATTGTCAGCCACACCATTCTTTTGCCAACTAGACGCTCAAATTCTTTTCCTAAACTCAATAGTAGTGAGACTGGTCGCCAACCCTTGGCAGTTGACAGATTTCTACCCGGCTTTGGAAGAAGCACAACTTCTGCCACCCTGAAGGCCGTGGGAAAGTAGCCGATTTTCAGACAGGCCTAGTAAAGATCTTTCACGAGAGGTCCTAGATGGGACCAACAGGCTTTCAGTAACTGTACCGTTATCTTGTCCGCTCCCGGTGCCGTGTCGTTGATAGAGACAGTGGCGCTTGTCACATCGTCCAGTGATAATTCCGTATCCCATGGAATACGCTCCTCCTGTCCATTCTTCTAGATTGAGATGTCGTTCTCGCCGCTAAACCTTGCCAAGAGAATGTCTCGTAGCGCACTAGCTCGCTCTCGCGGGTCAGATAGCTACCGGTTGTCACGGTTTCATTACAAAATGCATGAGCGATGTTGTAGGTACAATATTTTAATTATAATTCTCTGAAGAGAGAATTCCTGTACTTAATGACTACCTATATATACAGTCTGAAATACCCCTCCTCGATAAGATTCTCTCTATAACCTGTCAACTCAGACTCTTCTACAATCGCCTGTAGATCCTTGATACTTTGTAACCCTCATGAACTCTCAGTAGGTTTCAACAAGGCTCAATGTGAATCATCTAGGTTCCCTGTCATCCAAGATCTTCCCAGGAACCTCCCTTCGTATAATTGCCTGCGCTAGACAGCGTAGGCTACAGGAACCCTTAGGCTTGACAGCCGTCAGACCGGTTTTCGTCAATCTGCAGATGAGAGGGCTCAGCAGCTGGTCGGGGCTTAGCCCATCTCATGAGCTTGAATAATTGTGCATCAGTAGTAACTGCCTCCACTTGCCTCTTCCAGTACTCTCGCTTGGCTTTTCGCACCACGGCTCTAAAGCTTTTGCGGGCCTCTTTTGCGAGGTCCGGGTTGTCTCTCGCTGCCTTGTAATTCTGCCATTCAATGCGAGATTCATTGCTCCACCAAGGGCCGGTTTTTCTGCTTTCGATGGCTGGGACTTTTACCACAATCTTCAGCGCATCTTGATGGAAATATCGCGCAATGTAATGGGCGCAATATTCATGGAACGAAAGTAGAAGTTGACTAAAAGAGTGTCATGTCCGGATTAAAGCTAAAAGTGTGGGAGATGTGCGCTACAAGTACAAGTGTAAGCGACACAGAGCCTAAGCCACAGTATAAACGAGTGTGGCGCCATCTTGGCATAGAAACCCCCCAATAACCTCCTTGCGCCCACGCCATACAGCCGCTCATATGTCCAATAGGTAGCCTGAAGCGCTACCATATTACCTAATCCAACCTCTTAAATACACACAAGATCGTGTCGGGAACCTAGACGAAATGGAGGGCCCATAGGTCCACAACACTCCGTGTCTCCATTTCCAACACATCTCCAAGTGCTTGTAGGAGATCATCTATAAAATTTTCGATGTCCATGATACTGTCAAGAGGGCCAGATTTGGTCCATTGGCTAATGCATCGGCTTAATTCCATCAAGTTGGCGTCTCTGACACGAATATTCTTTAAAATTCTTGAGAGATCTATCACTGTAAAGTTCAGCACGGTACCCTCGATGGTCGCGAGTGATCTAAGGTACAATGGTAGCGGTTGGAGATCGATGCTATGGCGGCTGTGTCGCTCCACGTTAAATCCAGGTCATTCTCGTTCCTGTGCGTTGGCTCTCCAACTATACTGACTAGATCCATGTTGTAAGCTGTTTCCCATTCCATAGTCTGGTTACCATTGCCGCACTGGTTTGTCTTTAGCGGCTGCCAATACTGTGACACGGAATTTAAATCGCCTCGAGCAACTACTAGTCCTCTGAGTTCCCATTGGAGTAGGGGCTCCAAGGTACCACTAGTGCCCAGAGTAAGATATACGTTGACAAAGGTTAGACCGCTCATCTTTACAAAACAGAGGTCAGAAATCAGGCCTGACGACGATGGAAACAGTTGAGTCGCATGACTACTTTTCCGCGTGAAAGTGATCGCGCGGTGCCGGACGTCTATTTCCTCAAATAGTATGTGGCTATTACAACCATGGTGGCTATTCGTGATAAAACCCCATTCTTTCTTTCTTGTCCATGGTTCCTATACTATGACTACATGTGCGCCGGCATCCCATGCCTGCTACAATGCTATATCTATATTTGCCTATCCCTTCCGACATTCACTTGGTGAAAGTGGAGGGTCTTGTATTTATCTTTTGGTGCTTTTGTGTTAAATTGTCATGTAAAATATTTAAAATCCTGGGCTAAAATAAAAGCTCTACGTCCTACTACAGGTACAAGACCTATGAAGCTGGCAGGACTCCCTGTGTTTTTTTCCACAGCTTACTCATTCTAACCGCGTGAATTGCTACCAAAATTGCTGCAGATTATGACAAAACTGAAAGCAAGAATATAAACAAATAAAAACATCGTAAAAACACCCCTAAAGTCGGAAGATTCCTCCACATTGAGCCCAAACAATGCGCTCCTAACACATTGCTTCGCCCGTCACACCTTCCAGATGACAACTTTTCCGATCTCTGCTGAGAGCAATGGACGGCTTAGTGGGTACCATTGATACAGCCGGTATCCTGCTATTGGTTAATAATCGCCTATAGGTCGATATCGAGGTCACCGTCTCCTCAGACTTCTTCTTCGGACTCCAGAGCTCCGAAACCCGATACCTCCGCCATGGAGACGTCCTTTTTTGTGGCGATAATCACCTCCTCTGCCCTTTTGGCTGTAGCTCTTGCTAGGGCTGCTTCTGTAAACCTTCATTGCTCAGCTTGTCGAATTACCGCAAGCTGCTCTTTCTTCACCGGGCCGAACTTGTTAGGTCTAGCTTGGCAGTCCCGTGATCCGATCGGTGAGGTCCTCCACAATTTCAACATCTGGTGGAGGCCTTGCACTCTTCTTCAGAGTGCATTGTTGAGCCGCAATTCCAATAGACCGGAGTGCGGGAGCAACCATAAGTGGCGTGAAAGCTGAGGCAGCGGTAGTACTGCTTGATTTTTTGCCGAGGCTGTAGTTTGGTAGCCAAACCAGACTCTTCAAAGAGGCAGAAGCCCGCACGAGGAGTGGAGTCCTGACAGAAAAGAGCAACTCAGTTGCGGTATGGTGCACCAGATCGGTGCGTTCCATGAGTTCGCACCTTGGTTGGCGGAAGCCCAGTCTATCAGAAAATCTTGCTTGTGACCTCCCAGTCTGTGACCGTTACCGGGCCGCGTTTTAGTATAATATTTACGGGTACATTTCGTAACTGTAAGGAGACTAGATCCAAAGCCTCTTCAACTTTGGTGTTTATACTCTCCAGGGTCGGAGAGGCATCCAGGATTTTCTGTCTCAATTCTTCATCGGTTATCGCGATTGCGAAATCGGCCCTGACTCGGTGTATAAAGTCAGCCGTATATAGACTACAACCGGTTTTCACCTGGATTGCAGTTCGTGCACCCTGGGGAGAAAATTTCCTCCACGGGTGGTTGCTACTAAGGCGGATGAAAAGTCGTCTGTCGACTTTCGCCTTTGGGGCGTCTTTCTTTGAGGCTTTGACCGCAGGCTACGGCTCAGTCTTTACTGAAGGGACTGCTTTTTGTCTCAGTCCGTTCTTAGCTGCCGTGGCCCAGGTACTTTTGACAGGCAGCGCTAGGACGCCGGGTATTCTTTGGCTCCTAGCGTCAGGAGCTCTCGGAGGAGGGTTCGCTAGGCGAGGAGGAAATACGGGTGACGTAGTGGTCATGTATGGCGCAATGGCAGCGCGTAGGTAGGCTCTCATCGAGTCTGCGAATAGTCTATTTGACCCGTTGGTCAAAGGAAGAAGGCTTGCTTCGACGCCAGAAATGGCGGCGGTACAGAGTGCCAGATTTGCCGCTGTTTCGGCGGCGCGTCGCTCTTCAGCCTCGAGGATCGGTTAGAGTTCCAAAGGGCATTCTGCTTTAGTGGCAGCTTGAGGCAGCGACTCTTTCGTTGAAGCTGCTTTCGGTGTAGCTTTCTCCGACGGTATGGGTTCGGTCGGAGGAGATTTGGACGATTCTCCAATCCCGTGGGGGACAGAGGCTCATTGAGGAACTACCTCAACAGTTTCAACTGACCCGTTCATGTCAGTATCGGGCTTGTTGACGTTGGTAAGGGCTTTTTACTTCCCTTTCAAAACGTCCCGACTCATCCCGTGCAATTCGAAGACTGGGCAAAGCTAGGTATATTTGCGAGAGCCCTCGGGCGGGCTCTCAAGTTGTCCAACATTGCGTTGCGGAACTTTTTTCGAACAGTTTTCATGATGAAAATTCCAGCAACTCGATCATAAATTATTGATAGAATACGGCGAGCGCGAGAGGGAAAGAGGGGAGGAAAAATTGAAAATTCGAAATTCAAAAAATTGTGTGTGTATTTAATTGTACTACTTGAGTCACAGACTATTTAGCACAATGGGCTCCTCTCTGACCCAGGCCAAGGATACCTACACCAGTAATATATCCCCTCCTATGCCTCCCATACAACTCCCCTCAAACAGTACTGCCCCTCACAAGTCCTCATTCGATCATAAACTTAGAGGAGCCCTTTGCCCTTCATTATCTCCCTTCTCCAGCCAACGAAACGATGGCCATTTGCGGGTGTACGGCAGCCGGGAAAAATCGCAAAAAATCCACTTAGTGCGGGGCTCTCCTAATTCCGACATTAGGACTAGATCCGAAGACATAGTGGTCCTTCTGATGCGTTCGAAGAGGCCGGCCAGCTGGGCACTGCAGACTTGTGGGTACCTCGGGAAATTCACTCTCTGCCTTTCTAGCCTCCTTCCTGAATGTCGTGCTGAAATGTCAGAAAAGTCTTGACAGAGTGTGATTGCTGTATGATAGCTTAGCCCGACTTCTTTTGTGCCGTCCTGAGCGCTAGGGAGCGCCCTTGACTCATCGACAAAAGAAGCCCTCCTAGTTAGTTAGCCGAAACCTCGGTCTTGGCGCCCACAATCATTTCCAAGTCATAAACTTCTCGAATATATCAAATTATTATTCCCACGAGGGGTCTCTTCCTTATCTCTTTCCACGCCCCAGTCGCCTGTTCTTCATCAAGTTGTTTGTCCTATTAGAGCAAAAGTCCCCCATAAACTAAGACCCCAACTTTATATATTATGACTTAATTTCCTCCTTGTGGGTATGCGTAGCGTCGTATATTTGTAGTGTGTAATTGTCGGTAATAATGAAGCAAGCTCCTGTTTGCAACAGGAGTAACGCCTTTATCGGTCATTGAAACGAGGTGGTGTGTGGAGAGGTTAAGGTAGAGGATTCCCTTGAGAATGACAAGACCGACATTGATGAGTAGTCGCCGATTATATATATGTCTGTGTTTGCTGTCCAATTCGATTCGGATGCAATTCTTCTTGGCTATCTCAGATATGCAGAGCATACTGAGCGATTACACCGGCACCACTTGAAAGTGAAGAATTCGTATCTGCCGACTAGCTATATTGTAAATTATTACTATATTTAATACTAGATAGTTAGCTTATACAGTCTTCCACAAAATAGGGCGCATTTAGATTCAGATACAATCCCAAATCCAAATGTCTCTAAATTGATACGATAGCTCTACTAGTAAATCTTAATAAACGTTCCAAAGATTATTAAATCGACTATGCCTAAGATATTTAAACCTGCAGCGTAATTTGCTCGGACTCTGAAGCAAGGAATTTACAAGAATTGTATTAAACAAAGCTAAATTCTTAACGGAGCTAATTTGATGGCCGTTCGAAATTTTAGTTTGCGTCCCAACTATCATTAGATTACTTGTTGTATAAGCTCCATCATGTCGAAGAAATCTTCGCGCTCTAATCCTATCTTCTCCAAACCTAGCCCAATAAGTAACGGTCTAGTCTCTCCTGGATCCCGGAGCACGATTCGATTTGCGACCTGAATAGCATACTGGTGTCCAACCGTTTCTCGCTGCTCGCCGCCACCGCCAAGAATTGTTTTTGGCGAGAGATGATTTAGTGGTAATTGGTCTTGGGAATCTAAGAAACTGCCAGACTCAAAACGATTCGGGGAAACGGAATTGAGTGAGACTTGGACCTGCGGACAATAAATTTTAAGCAGAATTCAGAAACTATGATTTTTCATACCCATTGTGAGAGGCATCCGCCTTGGGAGATAGTGACCAATATTTTATCTGTAAACAGGATGGAGGTGACCTCAGTATCGAGCCCATCAACTATTCCCACTGCTTGTTTTGAATTCGCTGGAAATGGAACAGCAACGGTTGATTTATACTTGTATCTAGAGTTTAAACACTCTCCTTGGGATGGGCTCGTCATGTTAATGGCAGTATGTAGTGACGGATTGAATGTTCGCCTGGCAAGGCTACAAGTTCTAGATAGCCTTGCAATCCCAAAATTTTGTCCTCACCCGCGTTTTTGCTCAAGGGCGCCTAGGCATATATGATAAGCCAATAAACACGCAATACCACAAGCCATGCCAACAAAATTTGTTCCGCGGCAGCGCAAGCACAAAGTTCTTCAACGGCAAAAGTCCGAGGCTGAACATATCGAGCCCTCAGGAGATACCAATCTCGTGGAGCATGTTCCAGCGACGAAGGTACAACTACAGGAGAAAAGACAGCGGATGAAAGACGAACTAAGACAGAATGGGGCCAAAACAAGCGGCAAGAAAGCAAAGCGCCTAGAAAAATACATTGAGACAAAGCTCCGTAAAGATGAAAACCGAGAATTAATTTCCCGACTGGCAAAGACAAAGTCAGATACTAGCTTATACCATAGTAGTAGTAGGTTAGGACAAGGAAGAGAAACAAAGAGACAGCGGCTTGAAAGAGCTCTAAAGGATCAACAGGCCGGAATCGATCTTGACGGGGATAATGACTTAATTCTTTGTGATAAGAGAGATAGGAGCCCAGTTGAAGCCGGGGAAGCTTCCGACGACTACAAGAGTCAAGATATTGGTGCAGCGGCTTCGGTATTATTAGACTTAAAGAGTTGCGGTGTAAGTATTGGGTCTGGTTTAAAAAGGCCTCTTGAGGTTGGCGAAGACGGCATACCAATACTGAAAAAGAGAAAGAGACGAGGCGGAGTTAAATCAAATTCAGGCTACAAAATATCTATTCTACACAAGGAAGAGAAAGTAGAGGAAAATTCCGAATGGGAGGGCTTTAGTTCAACTTCAGATATTTCAAATGATTCGGAATCTCATGTAAGTGAAGCTGAAACACTTGATGATACGTTAGATACTTCAAATTTTACAATTGAAAAAAAAAAAGGCCTGGAATCTTCCTCCGAATTCTCCCAAGATGACGATGAAAATGATGAAGAGAGCTCGGACAACAGTGATGATTCTCAGGAAAAACTTCAGCCTAGGTCATCTGCATTTAAAGCTTGGGCGAATCAGCAAATAAATGAGGCTCTTGGTTACAAACCCATATCAAATATACAAGCCGCCACAGAATCTTTTAAAACAAGTGGCTTTAAAGCTAGAATCGCTGATCAAGATCCATTACCTCTTGAACTACAGCCTACGGTAAATACTTTGAGGAAAGCATACAGCATCACAGTGAATAGAACCCCTGAAATTCAAGACATTAGACTTCAGCTACCTGTGGTTGCAGAAGAACAGAAAATAATGGAGGCAATTCATAACAATAATGTCGTCTTCATCTGTGGCTCAACTGGATCTGGCAAAACAACTCAGATTCCTCAGTTTCTGTTTGAGGCAGGTTACGGCTCATCGGACTCACCAACCCCTGGAATGATTGGTATCACTCAACCACGGCGAGTAGCAGCTGTTAGTATGGCTCAACGTGTTGGTGATGAAATGTGTGAATATCGTAAAAAAGTTGCCTACCAGATCAGGTTCGAAGGGACTGTAAGCTCAGAGACTTCTATCAAATTTATGACTGATGGGGTCATGCTCCGTGAGGTTTCACAAGATATATCCATGAAGAAATATTCAGCAATTATAATTGATGAGGCGCATGAGAGAAGTCTAAATACTGACATTCTTATTGGTATGCTTAGCCGTGTCGTTAAGCTTCGTCAGGAGATGGCCGAAGAAGATTCATCAATTAAACCTCTAAAGCTTATAGTTATGTCAGCAACTTTGAGGATAAATGACTTCATCGGAAATACCTCATTATTTTCATCACCACCACCAGTCGTGGAGGCAGAGGGAAGACAATATTCTGTCACCAATCATTTTACTCGGAAGACACACCATGACTACGTTCAAGAAGCCTTTCAAAAGATAAGCAAGGGTCACAAAAAGCTACCACCAGGTGGGTTTCTCGTCTTCTTAACTGGTCAAAACGAAATTGCTCAGCTTAGTGCACGCCTAAAAGAGAATTTTTGCGCTGACCAGACAAATTCCAATCTTCATGTGAAAATATCAGGAAGAGATGCACCAATTGAGACTGAAGATCTTGATCTGGGGCTGGTGACTAGTGATGAAGACGAAGACGAAGACGATGTTGATATAAATCTTGCTGATGAAGATTTCGAGATTGGGGAAAATGGGGAGACCGGACCAGCAAAAATGCATATCTTGCCTCTGTACTCTTTACTGCCAACAAAAGAACAAATGAGGGTATTCAAGCCTCCGCCAGACGGTTCTAGACTTATTGTTCTAGCAACAAATGTGGCAGAGACTAGTCTCACAATTCCTGGGATTCGATACGTTTTTGATAGCGGAAGGTCTAAAGAACGGAAGTATTGCAGAGATACCGGGGTCCAGAGCTTCGAAATAGGTTGGATAAGTAAGGCCAGTGCTAAGCAGCGTGCGGGTCGCGCAGGTCGTACGGGTCCTGGCCATTGCTATCGCCTTTACTCATCTGCGGTATACGAGCGAGACTTTAAGGAATTTTCCGAGCCTGAGATTCTTCGCATGCCAATTGAAGGAGTAGTACTACAGCTCAAATCTATGAATTTACAGCACGTGGTCAATTTTCCCTTCCCAACCTCACCTGGTCAACAAACACTGGCCGACTCAGAAAAGCTGCTAAACTACCTTGCTGCGACCTCTGCTTCTGGACAAATAACTCCAATAGGCTCAACGATGTCTATATTTCCTCTTCCTCCTCGACTCACACGCATACTTTTACTCGGACATCAACATAACTGTCTGCCTTATATAATTGCTTTGGTTGCTGGTCTGTCAGTGCCAAATATTTTTATTCCTGAGAACCAGATCGTTCCGCCTGTCAAAAATTATGAGGAAGATTTTCGTACAAATTTAATGCAGATTGAAGAAGATCATCGCCTAAATATCAAGACCAAATTTAACAAAGTTCACAAGAATTTCTGTTTCCTCGATGATAAATCCGACGCCATAAAGTTACTCCAAGCAGTTGGAGAATTTGCTCACGAGCCAACCGAGGCATGGTGTCGAAAAAATTATGTAAATTTCAAATCTCTCAAGGAGGTAACTCAACTACAGAAGCAAATCACAGAACTCCTCCGCATCAATATTAGCACTCTTTCCACATTGAAATATCAGGGGAAACTACAACCTCCCACATTAAAACAAATCAAAGTGCTGAAGCAAATGATTGCGGCTGGATACATTGATCATGTCGCTGCTCGTGCAGACTTGGCCCCTAACCCCCCGGAATCTCAACGTAAACCAAAACGTGCTATTGATGTGCCGTATCTGACACTGTTTCCCTCATCGACCGACAGAAAGGAATCAGATGAGGCTGTTTATATTCATCCTTCCTCACCGCTAAGCCATCTCAGTCCTCAAGAGTGTCCGGAATACCTAATTTATTCCTACCTTCAGCGGGCGCCACCTAACCCTAATTTTCCAGAAAAACATTCCAAAACCCGTCTGCATGCATTGACCGATATCACTGGAAATCAGCTGGCTGCATTAGCTAAAGGAACAACACTTATCCACTACGGGAAGCCCCTCAAAGCCGTCATGCCCAAAGTGCTAGGTGACGGGTCTATTGCTGAGGTCAGAGAGTGCTGGGTGATTCCGTATCTTAGACCCGAGAGTAATGGAGGTATGGGCTGGCCACTGCCTGCGAGAAAGGTCAGGCAAAAAAAATTGCCCGGACAAGGTTGGGTTGTAGAATAATGAGTCCATACTAATTTTAACCAATATTTCGAGTCAGAGTCCATCAAATCTCTTTCTACTCCACCCAACTTTGGCGCATCCCATCCTTGTAATATGCCTGCATAGATTGCGAATAGGCAATTAATCTACCTTTGAAGAATGTTTAGTCTCCTTGGCCACTGTTTGGTTTTACCGCTTGTGTACGAATTTCCGTCATTTTCGATCTTATTTGCTCTTCCCTTATCTTAGCATCGAGCCGCGCTGTCGTCAATCCATGACTCAAGCTCATATTATGTCAAGTTTGTGTCTATTAAAAGTTCTTAATCCTATGTACTTAACCCTAACTGAAATAAACGAATGATAGCGGGATGTAGTCAAAGGTTTCCTGCATTCTCAAGGCAGATAATAGAAGAAATAAGTTTCATCGGCTTATTTTCATGTGCTTAGTAGGTATGGAAATACCATTAAATACGATTTTGTGTGGCAGAAACTACAATGTTCCCTTAAGGATTTAAATTTTATTTTTAAAGAATTTGAGTTAAAAATAACAATATTAGATGGACGCGGAGTATTCGGACTCGCTCCTAAAAATATTTAATTCGTATCGGAATAAAACTAAAATTTTCGGATTTTTAAAACCTAAGTTGTGTAAGATAGATATGAGACTTGGATCCTTCAGCGGTATGAAAGTCTTGAATCATTGGGATTCAATGAGTACTGAGTCATATGGCCCAAGTACTACCTTTCTTTAAAGATATATTTGATGCATCTGTGACTCGTAGTTTCGTGCCTGTAGATTCAAAGAGTTCACAATTGCTCCATAAAATGTATCTCTTTGCAGTAAAAGAGAAGCTTGTTTTGAATATAATTTCCTCTAAAATTTTACAAATCAACTTGATGCATCATCTCAAAGTTAAAATTCGACGCCATTAGAATTACTTAGGATCTTGACCCTAAGTTCTGAATTTGGGATAAATTTGTAAATAAAATCTTATGGCTTACCGCTTGTGAGCGATTTGCACAACAAAATGTTGCATGAGCTAGCCAATTCTGGAACTTGGCTGTGACAGTAATTTCCCTTTACTATTTTTAATGTATTGAAATATAGTTTTCCATATAAGCAGACAGACCTCTAGCATTTCCCCTATAATTTTGAACTAGTACCGATGAATGCTTGGAACCGGAGTTGGGTTGTCTTTCATGCAGTGGAGATTCCTTAGTGGTAAGATTAACTTGTATAATGCGTTTTTACGATAATGTTAGACACTTGTGTTAACATCTGGCTCATCTTTTTATGCTTTCGTTACAGTCCTTGGTAATTTTCCAGGCACCGATTCCTCTCCTTCCGACTACTCGTTTAATAGTAGGCCAGAGCCCATCAGAAACAAAGTCTAGATCATCAAGATTTAAGTGTCTTTTATAATGCCAAACTTCTTGAAAGTAGAGATGCTCAGATTCTTGATTGTCGATATAGTTTTCCAGAAATATAGCTGAAAGTGGAGCGACAAGGTAAACACCTTCTTTTTTCGGGGTGGGATTTGTAGAATTGCTATTATTACGACATGTTGCTAAGGCTCTCAGATCTCTTAGCATTAAATCTCCATCCATTCCCATTTTTTCATGCGTTGTAAGTACTTCATTTTTTCCATCCAGAAGCCAAATTGGAGGATTGTATGTTTTCCACCAGACAGCGTGCGTAGCATCGGGTTGTTTGCTAAGGAAAACTTGGGTTGGGACAACCCCACCTTGATGGTATACGCCCATCAAGACGCCGAATAAAACGTTAAAAATGATCCATGCACTCGCCCAAAGTTTCAAGATTATTTGATTCTTCGGCAGTTTGACCGAGGATAGAATTAGAGGTACGGCTGGAAGAAGAAACCTAGCTTCTTGATGCTGGAAGAGAGACAAAACGAAGATACCCGACATAGCTGAGTAAAGTCTCATGTTGAATTTTGGCCGTAACAATAGAAATATGATGGGACCCACAAGCTGTGGTAAGTTAAAGGCACCATGTTGGTACCAAGGATGTAGACCATGTTGTGCTAGATTTTTCGGAGAAAGGTTGTACTTGAGATTATTTATGGGAGTAACAAAGGGGTGTGAAAGCAAATGTGACCAAGTTATATTTTTTTCGCTGTAAAAATTTGTATCGATAGTTATAGCTATAAAGGTGAAAGTAATTGTAGAAAGTAGAGTCGCTAGGAACGCTGAGGGCCTTGGATTATCAGGAAAGCTTTGAGGATTGGGATTCAGATGGTACCAACTTATTTATAAAATGAGGTACTAAACGAAGGCTAGGAATCAAGAGAAATGCCGGAAAAGTTATTCGATTAAAAATGCCAAATACAGCTACAAACGCAAGTATAGCAGAGGCGAAACAAGAAGATCGTTTCTATTAATATTCCTTGTTAGAATAGAGACTGTGATAGGACGTAGTTCAAACCTTATTTTCGACGATTCTTTGGATAAGAACAAGGCTCCAAGCAACGGCCAAAGTTTCAATGGAGTTCGAGAAGGTATGAGTTTGATAAGTCCACGTAACATATGAGGATGCGACTAGCATAACAGCAACTTTGCGATGTTTAGGTATCTGTATTAATTCATGTAGAGCCCAGTCTTCCAAAACAAAGCTTAGGACGAACATCAGCACCCGCAATGTCCAAAAGGCTGCTATAGGGGGAACATGGTTATTATTTTTGTTTCCCATCCAGAGCCAGCGCAAGAGAAGCATAGGAAGACCGTAAACTGGCCATAGTGGAAAGACGCTTCGTACAGGATTGGTTGAAGTGAATTCCCAGGTCAAGCGAATGGGGTAGCTAAATACTTGACCTAAAATGATAATTAATTATGGCAATTGAGAGAGAATTAACAAGAAAATGCCAGATCCAACTAGTATGATTGGATTCTAACGATGTAACATACCTGCAATAACCTCTGGTCCTTGGAAGTTTTCATCGGGGTGAAGGTAGCTTGGTGAAAGAGCAAAGTAAAGGCGTATTAGCACCAGAAGAATATATGTGCGCCGCCACATGATGAATGAACAAGAATTGGGTTGGTAAACTACAATTGAGATTCGCGGGCACGAGATGTAGTTAAAGGTGTCTGAGCACCGGGGACCTCTTAAAAAGCCAAAAGCAGCCTCATGTAACTTCGATGAGATGTGATGTGGAATTTTAGCCAGAGCAAATCATGATTCTAATCAATGAGAGCCAAGGTCGGGCCATTTGATAACAATTATCAGGCGTTGTACTTACATGCCGTACGCGGTCGAGAATGGTCGGATTCTAAGGATACCCTAGTGACAACATCGGAATGCCTAAAGAGGCCTAGCGAAAACTATTAGTGGGTCCATTAAACAGCAGAAACCACTATTTTTGTCGTAAATTAACTACGCTGCAGTCTGTGCCCACATCCCTATTTCCGCAAATCATCGACCCCAGTTCAAAAACATATTTGGTTAGTCAGTTGGGCGTTGGTCTGCACTTGTAAGGTTTTTCACTATCTAACTCGAGTCAAGTACTTTCAGGCACGTTAGTCTACACTAGCACTCAGGTCACATCTTTTAGCGTACCCTTATCCTCTTTCTTTGTATAATAAAATCTCAGATATATTACCCGTGATGAATGGCAATTCAGCTCAGTATGTACCCATGGAATTCAGCCACCTTTTCCATGGAACCTTCTACCCAAAAAAAGATAAAATGGTAGCAATGAAAACCGCGTGCGCAGTAGATGGTCTCAAAAAACTTGCAGACCTAGCCAGGCAAGACCTAGATATTGAGGTTATATGAGGTGCTTAATTCATCTACATCTCCATTCTTTGTATTAATTGAGGCCGACTTGATCCAATCCGCCATCTCCGTATCGGTTACTGGGTACGCTCCGGAAACTCGTCGGATGACTACTCCTCGATGACCAAGAGTTGGTGATGAGAAGGGCTTCGACCCTAACATCTGATCTGATCGTGGTTAGCTTCATGATAATTGTGATACTCAATCACGGCTCTGTAGACACTATAGTGAGAGCTGGAGGTTCGTAGGGGACACCCCTGACAGCTGTGGAGAATGGTCCCCTCTAGTGAGTATTTAAAATAAGAAAAATGGTTAAAAACTCTACTCCAATATCCAGTGTTTCATTCAGTTTTCCGAAAAACAATGCTTCTCGCCCTAATTTTCGCCATACCACATAGACTGACGATGTTTATGTGCGGAAAAGTTCGCTTGTTTTTTGTAATTAACATGCTGGGAAATCGATCCTCTATGTACTTTAATGGAAGATTGAGTATGAGTGCGGCTGGGATGGGCTCGATCAGGTTGACTACCTAAAATACAAGAACCTCTTCCCACTTGAAAGACTAGAATACGCTAGCAAAGACGAATTCTTCACCTTCTAGTAGTGCCGGCGTAATCGCTCAACATGCTCTGTGTTATGGCGTGCGCCAAGGATACTGGAGATCGCCGTCTACCGAAGGTAATGTCTTAATAACTAAGGATAATAAATTCTCATGAAAGGTACTTAAAGATAAGCAAACCGGAGGGGTGTTAGGTATTCAAAGACTGGAGAGGCAAAGGATATTCGAAGGAGGGGTGTTAGGTATTCAAAGACTGGAGAGGCAAAGGATATTCGAAAGGGGCTAGTCAAGAAGTCGAGTTACGGAGCAATCGAAGAAGTTTGATAACCTGAGGTCAATTGATGTACGAATGACGTACCGAGTAATGAAAGACTGAGAATATAGGGTTTTGAGAATACATGTTGTGATGGGCATGTTATACAGCTAGGATACTTGCATGTACATAACGTGATTAGATAGTTACGCTGTTTGTGTAGTTCCCGTATCGTTTGTGATATCTGCAGTAGGAAGTTCATGTGGTCAGGAGCCGACTAGCGGCCGCACAAGAGTACAAGTCGCGAGTGCTCGGCACAGGGTTAGTAAAGTACAATTAAAGTATAGTGAACCTCAGATACACCTTCAACCACGACCTGAAACTCATCAATCTATATATACGTACAAGGTCAGCATGCATAGTGATACTAACCTAAGCTCATAACTATAATAATACAAGATTAAAATATTTTATAATTGCTAGTATTCGAGATTATAACTATCAGATTGAGAAGCTGGAGAGCTACTTTATGGTAGGTCCAGCTCCCACAAGAATAATTAATGATTCTACAATAATTCCATTTGGGCTAGCACAACATTTAGCCCTGACTCCAACCACAGCCTCAACAGGATCTATTCAAGATGGCACATTAACTTAGATGATAATCTAACTGTGACTATCTCAGATTCGTTAGGAATCCGTTCCTTGGAATTTCACTTTTAACTTTCCGCTTAAAAACTGATTCAAGAATGTCTTGCCATAACACTCTGCATATCTAGGATAGCCGAGATGAATCGCATCCGAATCGAAGTCTAAAGTAAACACATGCATAATTTCATTTGACGACTTCTCCACCATGTAGCACTCACCACTGTCCTATGAGATTTCAACTCCTTTCTAACCTCACATCATCTCGCCTCAACGACCGATATGGGCGTCACTCCAATTGCAAATAGTAGCTTGCCTCATTTATTACCGGCCATCAACCACTACAAATTTACGACGCTACGCATAGCCGCAAGGAGAAAATTAGGTTATAATATACAAAGTTCAGGTCGTAGTTTTTGTGGGACTATTGCTCTATTGGGGCTTTATTATCATAAATGCCAGGTTATGAGAGGTGAAATAGCTACCGGTAACGTATTGCACGTTCTCTGAACGACATTGCGGCAGATAAGTAGTGTTTTTTTTCATTGTGTATTCAGCTATCTAGCTATAACACATTATAAAATTCTAGTACCCAAAACTCCTTACTGGAATACGTTCTTCAAATTTACTTTTCAATTTCCCATTGAGGTATCCTAGTTCAACTCCCTTTATATGCAATCATGCACTTGGATGTGTCCAAATATTTAAGAATTGCTTCTTTTCCTCTTGTTCGGAATAATATAGGTAGATTTCTCGGCTCTATGCCGTTAAAAGGTCTGTTTCTTTGGTGATTAAATTTCGGACAATGTAACAACAAGTGTTGCACAGTCTGCCTTTGCTTTGAAAAGAAATACATATATTATCTTCAACTTTTCCTACCATGTGCAGATACACTCGGGTGTTTCCGACCGCAAGCCTAGCCTGGAAAAATCCTGACTTTGTCTCCCTCATATGATCTTGAAATTCAAATAGCTTGCATGAAAGGCTGGGTTGGTTAATCTTTGCCTGGATCCTGTAGTACTCGCTTAGTCCTTTTACTTTCCGGCCCTCCTCATGTCAAAGCTGGAGGTTCAAGTCTTTGTTCCGTGCCTCAAGTGCTAATTCTTTTGCTTTTTATTTCATAATCGAATGAGTTGAAAACTTTTCCCTTCTCGTTGCTTGTTTTTTAACCCCATTTCTGGCTGGATTGTCTGTTAATTCATAGCCTTCTGTACGAACATTTGCAGGCAGATGAGTACGTAGAATATGGAATGATTAAACCGGCTAAATGTGAAAGAATCACTATTATTGTATCCATGTGAATATACTACGGCTCTGATTGAAATCATTCTTTGTAATTCTAGATTGAAGATGTCAACATCTATACTGTATCAGTCAATCCCATTCCATACTACATCTGCCTATCCCATTCTATTCCATTAGTATTATTTCTCATTGTCTCGCCAATCCTCAATATACATTTGCAGGGGTGTCCATGCTACAATTATAACATTTATATCTTGAGGAAGGAAAAGCGACCAGGTTATGGAAAGAGATGGGGAAGAGACCTCTTAAGTTAATAATAGGACTGATATTTTCGAGGTGTTTCCGACTATGGATTGTTTGTGGGCGCCAAGATCAAGGTTACGGCTGATTAGCCGGGAGGGCTTCTTTTGTCAATGAGTCAACGGCACTCCCCAGCGCCTTGGACGGCACAAAAGTAGTTAGGCTAAGCTACTATGCAGCGATCACGTTCTGTCAAAGCTTTTCTGAAATTTCAGCACGACCTTCGGGAAGGAGTTGGAAGAAGGTGTTATAATAACTAGGCTATATGGGAGCAGGACGATGGATACTCTTGGGGAAGTTATGCTCACATTAGGTCTCTATAGCCGCTGTCGCGTGTGTTCTCGTGATGTGTAAGACTTGACTCTATATTCTCGTATAAAGGAAACTTAGTTACAAATGAGTGGACGGAGGTTAAGACCTCCTTATATCTTGCTCCAGACTTACTGTGTTGTTCACGGCCTAGTGCTAGAACATTCCCTTATGATATCATTTCTCTCCTACGAGAAATGACCAGCTCGTTCTCTCTCAGTCTATCAGTCTCTCGCTGATTCCATTCTCTCTATTCCATCGAGTTCTAGTTTGGTCCAGTATACCCACACATGCATTACACACTAAACACCCCACGGTTTAGTTCCACAGTCACGTGCATATACTATGACGCGACCTAAAGCATGTACCATGGTAAGTTACATGGATAACACAACAGAAGGCTAGAAAGGCAGAGGGTGAATTCTCCGAGGTACCCATAAGTCTGCAGTGTCCAGCTGGCCGGCCTCTCCGAACGCATCAGAAGGATCACTATGTCTTCGGATCTAGTCCTAATGTCGGTATAGAAGAGCTCGGCACCCAGTGGCTTTTGCGATTTTTCTCGGCTGCCAAACGCCGGCAAATGACCATCGTTTCGTTGGCCGGAGGGGAGATAATGAAGGGCAAAGGGCTCCTCTAGGTGTATGATCGAATAAGGACTTGTGAGGGGCAGTACTGTTTGAGGGGAGCTGTATGGGAGGCATAGAAGGGGATACACCACCGGCATAGGTATCCTTGGCCTGTAGGCAGAGAGGAACTGCATTTCCTACATAGTCATAGACTTAGACAGGACAATAAAATGAAACGATGTCTAAAATTGACTACTTTTCGTCAATGTCGGACCTATCACTCTCACACAAGTCCTCTACTAAAATATTGCTTCACAACCTCGCCTCAATTATCGATAAAGGCGTTGCTCCAATAGGAAT